AATCATGTCCTCAAACACATTCATTTCATGCAAATGAAGGGCGGTGGGTGGGAGGGGGGGGGGGAGCTTGATTCGTCATGTTCGAAACGAGTGGGAATTCCCCTGACACAGTATAACCAATATGAAGGTTCTCTTCCATGAAGGGGAATGGAATATACTGTCGTAAGTCATCTCCTGTATGTTGTAATCATCCTCAAAGTCATGCCGAAAGGTGAAAAACTTGATTTGAAAAGAGTCAGAATTCCCCTGACGCGATAGCTAATAATGGTCCACCACACAAACGGTGAATGAAATAAACCCTTTGCAACCATCTTTACGTAATGTATTTTGAAAATTTGGTCCTCAAGCTTATCCATTTCAGGCTAAAAAGGGGAAAACTTGATTCGAAAAGAGTTGGAATTCCCCTGCCGCGATAACTAATAAGGTTCCAGCACAAAAACGGTGAATGAAATAAACCCTACACAACCATCTCTACATAATGTATTTGAAACTCGGTCTTCAAACTCATTTATCTCGCGCGGAAGAGGGTAAAAAGCCTCGATTTGAGGGGAAGAGTCATTGAATTCCCATGACACCGGGGCCAATAAGCTCACCATTACTAGAAACATGAGCATCCATTAGTCTGTAAGAACACACGAGGTACAATATACACACCTACCAACGAACGAGAGAGAGAGAGAGAGAGAGATAGAGAGAGAAGCATTCATTGCATTTGCCGCCCTTTCAACATATTCCAAGCTGAAATTAACATTCGGTCGATACGAAGCAGAAAGAATGGAGAACGCGGGGTTGAGTCACAGAGCTGTTGGTTTTCTCTCGTATTATTTCCCTCTCTTTTTTTTTTCTTCCCGCGCTCTTTTTCTCCCCTTCGGCTGCAGCGGGCATTTAAATTGCGAGCCATCAGAATTGCTTTAGGTGGGGCCCCCTTCGAGGGGCGCGGAGTGGAAAACTACATTTTTGGGTGGATGTTTGTGTGTTCAACTCTCAGTAGAGAGATCGAAATGCATATTCTTTGCTTTTAGAAGCTCCATTCTGTCTTGTGCTGCGGGCTCGCGCTATAGGGTGTCACGAAAGGATGTAAAACTGAGGCAGAGAGGAAAGATCTTTTAGGCGAACCTGCTTTCTGCATGAATCGTTTTCAACCGTCGCAGTCGAACTCCAGACATACACTGTATGCCATTACTAGTCTACTTATTCTAGAAAATACGGAATTAAAAAATGGGCAAATGCATTGATGTTTCCGACCAATGTTCGCCAATATTGTTTGACCGACTTTGGTAACGTTTTAACTACTAACGCTATTTTTTGTATAAAGATTCATGTAATTCAAGCCATTTTTTCTTTACAATGTATGAATATTCGTCCCAACATTCACATACTTCAAAGAGTTATTCAATTATACAAATTAAGCTTCAGAATGTTGGAGTATATACGGAACTGGAAAAAAACAAATCGTGACACAAAATAATGTTTTAATATCTTCATCAGATAGCGCGCTCCATCAAAGAGAGTGCCTGAATGATGTTCTTCTACTAAATTTCTTAAAAATCAATTTTAACTATGTCATTAATAACTAAATTAATATTATAATATATTTAAAAATAAAATGAATATACAGTGGCATACCCATGGGGATGCGAGGGGGGGGGGGGGCACCTACCACTGGCCAAAACCGAATAAGCCATAATCTTATACTTTTAAGTTGAAGTATACTTGTGTATCCCAACCCGACCAAATTTGATATAATATCATTTTTGTCTTCTCTGCAATTTTCTCTATTCCCCCTTTTCACCACCCTTGCCATCTTCTTTACCATGCCAGTACATTATTGGTGGAAGTACAGCCAATAAATCGAGGATCTTCGCGATGTTTCTATTTAAATTGTCTTTTGTTCTTGAACATTGCATATTCAAGTAAACTTTGAGTGTCTTCGTCATGATTTAAATCTGCTAAAGAGAATGTTGCACATGAGAGCCAGTCCAATTGAATAGTGATGTGACGTAATGTATAGCTGACAGTCGCAACTAAGTACGTAGTCACGTTCTGACTTTAATTAGATTTCGCTTCGTCCATTGTCCTTTGTTCTTCAAAATACCAACTTCAGTCGAACTTACACACTGTAAGTGTTTTTGACACTTTTATTGCAGTGCTAAAATAAAAATGATAAACATAAATGTCAGTCCCATTGAATACAATGCCATTGAAGCCTATGAGTGCATATAAGCTGAGCCCCTCTGCCATCTTGTCTCGTCCTAGATCCCTGGCAACCCGTTAATTATGCAAAGTGATAGAACCGCCCGAGGATACGGGATTTCCTGTCCGTATGCTGCGGTCTATTTTCATGTGCCACAAAATTGTTCTGCAACTATAACAACCGACTCCGCGGCGCGGTTGTGGATCTGGGGTATATAGGATTTAGGACTCGAGAGTCACTGCAAGGTGTGAGCGGAACGATGTGGGCATGCGAGGAAAAAGGGGTATAGTGGAAAACGATGGTGAAAAGTCGGGGACAAAGGGAAGGGAAAGATAATTCTATAGGAGAGCTTCATTGAAGAAAAAAAAAGAGGAGTGGGGGGAACGAGAAGAAGGAGAGAGAGAGAGAGAGATGAAGAAATAAAGGAAAATATGGTGGAGATAATAGTTTTATAATTATAACTAGCCTAACGCTATCGGGATTAAAGAAAAAAATGGAGTGGAACATTGGTATTTTAAAGAAAGTTGTAAAAAGCCATGGGATGAAGAGAGTCGAAAGAGATGAACATAGGGAAAGGGGGAGAGATAAAGGGGGTTAGGGAAAAGGAGAGCAAGGGGGAGAGAAAGAGAGAGGAAAGAGGGACTCAGAGAGGGAGAGAGGGATATGGGAGAGGATAAGGGTTTACAAAGATATGGGTGGGGTGGGGGAACTAAGCGGGTGAGAACAGTCCATCCACCAGCCCTCCAAAAACTAAAGTGTTAGAAAAAAGGGGAAAGAGTGGTTTAAAATAAATAAGAATAGGAGAAGTTTTGAAAGACACTTTTATGATACATCCCTGGGTTATCCACATCAGGGTGATCGGTGTATTAAATATTTATCCTTCTTGGAAATGACGCCTTACATTCTGTACAAGACATTAAACATAGTGAATATTTCATCATCTGACATGAACGAAAGGTCGCCTATTTCTTAATGTGAATATTAATGCCAGTGAGCATAGGGTCCATTCTTTCTACATTGGAACGTCGTTTCTTGACGGGAAAAAAGAAGAAAACTAGAAAGACTGCTATGATGTTTGCTGTGATATTTCAATAAACCTGTATTAAGGACAACGTCAGAAGGGCACAAAGTCGACCGCCAAGTCGGTCGCATGGGATTTTTGTCCGATAGACCGACGTTCTTGTGAATCCTCTGATAATTTTTCAGAAGGCCCGCAAACACGATATTGTCGGTCTCTTGGATGTCGATCTTGTTAGCTATAACCTTGCTTGTTATATGATTTAGGTACCCCCCCCCCCCCCAAGAAAAAAAAAAGAATGGCAAGAAAATGACGACGACAACAACAACAACAACAACACACAACTACACAACAACAGAATACTTGAGTATATAAAGAGTGTGTTCACCTTAACTGTAAACCGTGAGGAGTATCAACTATGTCTAACTGACCACATCGACAAAGTTCAGAGAATGTCAGCGATATTACTTTCCATCTTTATTTACGTCCATGTCTGGACACGCATACTTCATGAGTATGTGTCTCTGTACACACTGGACATGGTCTGGTGATATCGTATATCCAGGGACACTCTCCGTAATAGCAGTAGATGTTTTTTTTCTTGGCTGGTACCTTGTAGAGGGTTGGCCATATAGGGAATTCATTCTATTTTCAATCAGTGTGTCAGGACATCAGCTACGCTTCTCGGTCAACTACCCCAACCAGGCCCCTCGGACAACTGCTCCTAAAGATAACTGTAGGGTTACTACTATGTAACTAATCTGCCACGTCAATAATTAAAAGTACTGTACTTATTATTTAATGAAGTATTACAGAGCAGGAACAAAATATAAAATGAAATACAACTTTTAATGAATACATGCTTGCTTTCGCCTTGATACTCTTCAAAAGGAATACAAACACTAAGTTGCATCAAAGTACCTCATATATTAAATAAAGATGTCTTCAGAGTAATCTTTTCGAAAATTAAAATATTTAAAGTATTGTGAGCTATATTGTCCACGATTCTCTTATATCTCCCAATATAACGGGGAACGGAATATAAAATGATGAACTCAAATGTCACACGATCGTTCGGGCTTCTCTCTTTATCGACATTAGCGCGTATATCAGGTATAGACGTAATGGATTGGTGTTGGATGAAATTAAGCGTGAGCTCATTAAATGTCACTCATATTTGTTTAGATCTCTCCGGACAGGCAAACTGGTCTTATTCAGGGTCATGTAAACACACTGTTGAGCTGATCCCTGATCTGTATGTTTTATTCTGTTAATGACCCATCGATGGCCTGGTTAAATGTCAGATTCTGAGTCTTTAAATTACGTGGATAATTCGACCGAGAGCTGTTTCGGTCCACTCATCTCTGTAACTCGACCTTTTTTTTCGTCACCCGTCGCCAAATTTGATTTCTAATGGGTTTTTTCCTCTTTCATTTCTCTCTTTCATATTTACCTTCTTTCTATCTGTCTATTTGTGTTTCTTTATCTCTCTGTATCGGTACATCTCCCTTCTCTTCCCACAAATCTACTCATAGAATAAGGGGGGTCCTGTTATTTCTAGATTTTAAAATTTAATTTAGATGCAAAATAATGTCAATAATATTGAAGAATAATTAATAGTTTTGATATCTTGTTAAATAACACTGAATAACTTTCGTCAACAAATGATATTGGTTAGAGGTTTGAATTGTCGAAATCGTTTGAGACTGACTGTATTTGTTCTACGCATGTTGTATTTCAAAGTGCTAACGTTTTTTTTTAAATATTATTGTTCCATCTAATTTTCAGAGTTGCAGTTATGTTCTGGGTCTTGATTGCGCTGGTCTCTTTGGTAGGATGCTTTGGACTGCTACTCCTCATCATGGCCTGCATGACCGCGGGACCATCGAAAAAGAACGCATGCGGTAAGCGGGTCATGAAGTGTGTTGGCCGTATTTCTACCTCGGTGGTAAGTTGGATTTGATTTGATTGATTCGATTTTAAATAATAATATTAACGACAATGAGCACATGATTTGAATTGATAGCCCTGTTCAGCTGGTACACCAAATCCCTTCTACCGGCATGTGAAAATTATAAAACAGACAAGAGAAATTACATCACTTTACCAACTATATCCACAACATGTCACTACAATATACAATACACTATTCGGGAACATTTCATTTAAGCGATTTTGAGCTGTATTTAAAAAAAAAGTATAATAGATTGACAAGTAATTGTGATCTCATGACAGTGTTGTTTTAAAACGATTGGACATGTTAATATGCGAAACTTGTGTAAAAAAATGTTTCAAAATAAATGTACATTAAACAACGAATATGAATAGATCGTGGACAAAATTGTGTATAAAATGACATGATAGGGGAGGGCAAAAACAATGTCCACCATCTCATATCTTGAAAACGAGTGCCCAATTTTTTCAGGAGAGCTCGTCTCATAATAAATGTACTAACACCATTCAAACTAGAATCGACATAATTCAGTGTCGTCTCCGTTGCCGTGAACCATCAATAATTATAAACTTAATAATGATGACATGATATGCTCTGTTAAGAATATTCATATAAATTTTGATATTGAATTCGCTACTCTTAAATACATTAAAGTTCATACATAAATATGTTTCATCGACGCTCATCGTGGAACTCAAAATCATCATTTTATCGTCTCTTATCTATTTGTAAGGCCAACGAGTTTGGTCTGTCCTTGCCTTTTGTAATAATTGCACAAATGAGAAAAGGAAAAATACATCCCCGTGAAAGACGGCCAAGCGTGCTGCATCATGCACATTATTTCGATCGCTTTTTTTTCTTTCATAATATTGTCATTAAAATGTGAAGCAACCTTGAGGTGCCCCTCGCTCCGATCTCACCATATCATTCAAATATCATCCTTTGTAGACTGTCCATTGTTATCCGTATCGCCATGGCAACCGTTCAAAACCAAGATCAATGCCAGACACGCTTTTAGACCTCTGCTGAGCGCCAGAAGGGCATTAGCGTTATGTAGAGGTGTGTAATTAATGCCCTTCTCGCTCTTATGGCAGACGTACTTTGACTCGATTAGCTAAGTGCGACTCATGACCGTGGAGTTCTGGGTCAGAGTCTCGATGCTATCACTATCAAGGGCGTCATTAAAAGGGGTATTGGGGTGTTACACTCCCTCACAATTTTCAGATAGAAATTTTTAAATTTTCATTCTATTTGTAAGTGCACACGAAAAATGTAAATACAATTACAAATTTGAGAACATTTTAGGATCTATTCTCTTTATCAACAATTGTCAAACGTTTATAGAGATAGTTTGAATCAACACTTTATTTGTCTAAACATCGTTCATCTCCTTTGTAAGATCCATTTCATGCCATGCTGATGTTTAGCATTTTGTGATTATCTCTTACGCTCAGGAACTTCTTCTCATCTCATAAATCCTTGTGTATATCGTAAAATCCTTGAAAATGAATATGGAAACCAGTTTGTATACAATCATGCCAACCTCCGCATTCCGTTTGGCAATACCTCATACACAGACAGAGAGACAAAAAGTCCTTTCAAAAGATGCGGTACTCCCTGTGTGCTCCTCCTCTTGTTGTCATGGCAACCAATATTGACATGGATAAAGAGGAACGTGATCGGTTCGTGTGTCTTGTACAAATATTACCAGCATGAATGTGACCTCACATATGCCTTGCCTGCTAGGTTTACCAAACATTAATTTGACGAGGAGGGCTCGTGTTTCTCAAAGATGAAATCGAGAGAGAATCCACCATCAGCAAATGTTTGAAAAACAAAGCGCGGTTTATATATATTCTTTTTACAAATTCGTTTTCTTCAAAAATGAAAATACCAAGAGAATGTATTGAATTCTCCCCCTGGACACGCCTGTTTGTAACTCAATTCAGTTTCTATGTATTTCGATGCCCGTTCTCCGAAAAGAAAAGAAATCAATATTTCTGTTTAAAAAAACAGGCCGCTTTATAACAAATATGAAATGTGATTCTAGAGCTTTCTCATTTGTTATTTCTTCATGTTTGTAGTCCCGTATACCTACAGGTATACCAATGCGGTCAATATTTTTTCCTGGGTATTATTTCACCAAGATTGAGTCTAATTTTATCATTTCCATGATTCCAAACCTCACAATAATTGTGTTATAAACAACCAACTTTTCCAATAACTCTCCAAGGCAGTTTCTTTCAATGCTATCATATTACCAGTATTCAAACTGGATTTTCAACCCAAACAACATAATACACGATAATATATGTTATATCTAAACAAAACAACATGCTAAAAACGAAATGTTGGACGATTCTGCGTTTTTTGACATAATTATGAAGAGAGCGAAAGATAAAATACGTTCTCGGCTGTCTATCATTAATTTCAGGTTTTTCTATGTTATGTCCTCTTCAGTCATCACCATGGCATTTCGATTTTTTGTTTGTTTGGTTAAGAGCGCTGCCCTGGCGTAATTTCTGGGCCGTTTCCGATAGTTCATGTTGACACTCAATAAAAAAATGCATTAATCACAACTGACGTATAGTTATGTGCACAGCGAAGTAAAGGGTTCGTTCCAGTTTTTGCAGAGTTTTTTCTTTCTTTATGGCACAACCCCATAAAGTTTGGAGTTTGCCTACTTTGGTGTGTACCATGTTTGACGAACATTTGACACACTTAGCTATCTTCCTAAGATATTAAACTATCAGTGCTCTTATTTAAAAGGGTGCTGGTGTTTGATTTAGGGAATGTAGGCTACATACAAAGATCAAACTAACAATTGAATGTGAATGTTCTGATGATCTGGATTATAGAAATTAATCTCTCTCTCTCTCTCTCTCTCCCCCTCTCTCTCTCTCTCTTCTGCTCCTCCACAGATGATCATGATTTGTTATTTCCTGTGCGTGTGCTGGATGTTGGGCTGTATCATCCTAGCCATGCCTCTCACCTTCATGCTGATGGTGCAATCCTACTGCGCGGTCCAGAACAACGTCTTCTTGGATACCACCTGCATGGACCTCACCCAGTATGGTAAGCCTGTGGTGATGATGATGGTGGTGGTGGTGGTGGTGGTGGTGGTGGGGTGGTGGTGGTGGTGTCGGTGGTGGTGGTGGTAGTGGTGGTAGTGGTGGTGGTGGTGGTGGTGGTGGTGGTGGTGGTGGTGATGGTGATGATGACAATGGTGATAACGATGATGAGGGTGATAATGATGATGGTGATGGTGGTGGAGGTGGTGGTGATGGTGATGATGATGATGATGGTGGTGGTTGTGGTGATAATGATGATGATGATAATGGTGGTAGTGATGATGATGATGATGGTGCTGGTGATGATGATAATGGTGGTATTAACGATGATGAGGGTGGTGGTAATGATGATGATGGTGTTTATGATGATGATGATTATGATGCTGATGATGATAATGGGGATGGTGTTGATGATGATGATGATGATGATCATGTTGAGTATGCTTCGTCAGCATGGCAAGAGCATCAGACTGAGGCTGGACAGCGAAAGGCGTTGATAATCATCATCACGATCGTCATCATCGTCATTATCATCATATTGTGGAGGTGACCGTGGTGGTGATGTTGGTGTCATGATGATAGTGATAATGATGATGATCGTGGTGATGGTGGTAACGATGATAATGATGATTGTAATGATTCTCGTAATAAGGAAAAGTATGACTCAATATCAACGTCGGTCATTATATTGAAATTTAAATTGATTATATTTTGCTTTGTTGAAGATGGAATCTGTTCTCATGCTACACTTATATGTTCTAGCATTCTCCCCTCTCCCCGCCACAAACACAAGAGCATTACTAAAGGAAATATAGGTCCATGTTATGACATAAACTTCTTATAAACTATCCATCTTGAAACGCTAACCGCATGGACAAACATATCCATGCAAGTATAGTAACCCATATGAAATCCATACATATGACATATAAAAGGAGGCAAAATAGCGAAACGCATAATAGCCTACATACATCGCCGAACAAAAATACCAAATTCGATCGTCTGATTTGGCGCTCCACCGCTCGCGCGTAGCAAACACAATGCCCGTCGTCATGGCAATTCCCGCTTCTTTTCAAAGGATGACGTCCGTCTGCCTTCATGCTGATGCACGGTTGAAAATTTTCCATGAATGCATCTAATGAAACTTCTTGGCTCGGGTATAGAAGAGTATGTTAAGAATCTTTTGATTTTATGATTTAAGGTGGTATTAAAGTGTTTTCATAAAAAATGTATCATTCGATATAGAGATGTGCGAGCACGGGTATAAAAGAGGACATTCATTTTAGGATTGGTGAGGATGCTTGACCAAAGTTTCCCGACGTGCATGTACAAATTTGCTTTAAATATTGATGTTTACAAAACCTGATTGAGAGAATACTCGGTCGCAGTTTAGTTTAAAGTGACAACCAAAAAGTAGGTTGAGTATATGCACCTCTATTAATATTCAAATATCAACAACTTTGGGGTCTATTTGAGGTAGGAGTTGCCTCTGTGTTTGAATTTACCATGATTAATGTAGTATTTAGTTTCTTCTCATGAAGTAACCATGCTATGTCAATGGGCAGTACAGAGTTTTTAGAAATTTAAAGCTTCGTGGATTGTACGTAAGCTGAATTTATGAGTGTAAACTATAGTGATAAACAAATCAATTTGATATTATTTTGAAAAAGAAAAGCTCCTAAATAACCTCTTTACAACAAGATAAATAAATAATTTTTATTAAAAAGATTATTAAAAAAAACACATCTCGTCTAGCTACCTGTTTATCTCTAATCTCGTAGTCTCACAGTCTCTCGTAGGCACTAGACAGTCGCGCAAACGGTTATATTCGATTATAAAAAGATATAAATGCCTGTCGAGAAAGGCTAGTCGTCATCTACCATTTCCGAATTGAAATGTTAGTAGCATCTGAGCCCAGCCTTTAGAATGGCTCAGATTCTGACACCATTACTGAGCTGTGTTTGACACGATGTCTCACCTGTTCTACCATTTATCATGTGACTAACACGTCACTTATACACGAGGACATGTCATTTACATCACGTCGCATGTTTTGATAGTACCAGGGGTGGCGTCAGAGTATTTGTGCAGGGGGGGGGGGGTAAATCTCCATCAAACAACAACCCCGGAAAAAATGGGAAAAAAATTTGCCGACATTTATCGTGTTCATCGAAATCATTAATTTATGTGAGTCCTAAAAGAATCGTCTTTTTCTGGAGCAATTTTTCAAATCAGTTTGATAAAGTCCCTGCCCGCCCCCTCCCGTAGCAAACGAAATTCTATCCTTTACATCTTGTACTTGTTATGATTTGTCGTAGTAGAATGTTTAGACGAAAGTGCTAAAGTTTCCTGAACAGAATCTATAACATTTTCACCGTCCCATGTTTTCATCATTTATTTCTATTCATGAATATATATTTTGTCGCCAATAGATAGCAAGAAACGGTTCAGCAATGAGAATGAAGCAAGTTTTCTTTTGGGGGAGGGCATTAAATATTTAGAGATGTCCGTCAGGCCAATATATCAATACAAATTTAACTTGGTTTTTGGCGAAACTTATTTTTCAAGTCATACCCTCTTTCTTGTCGTGAAGAAAATAGAATTTCACTAATGTAGGGGTTCGTTCGTTCGTGTCTCCTTAGATCAAGATAGTAATGTAAAGTTCCTTAACTTAGAAGTAAATTAAATTAAATTAAGTTCTTCCATCGCTCGATTGCTGCAATGGCCGTTTCATTAACAAGGGACAGGTCTTCATCTGTGCAACCCGTTCCGCCGCACTGCAAGAGGTGGTCCATCGTCTGAGTCTCTCCGCAGTCGCAGAGAGTATCTCCTTCATGGGCATAGCCCCATCTTGCCATATTGACCTTACACCGTCCCATTCTCGTCCGCATTCGATTTAGGCATTGCCACTCCGGCCACTTCAGGTTAAGACCTTTGATGAGTACGGGCTTGACTGATGGTGGAGGATTCTGTTCAGGTGGTGGGACAGAATCGAGGAAGCTGTGTCGGGATATAAGTCGTTTGTGGGGTTGTAAGTATCCGTGTAGCATGTGTCTGTCATCTGTCGCCTGCTTCATCCGTTCCTTTAGGCAGGTGTTAGTGCGCCTTTGGTTAGGAGATCCAATGCCAGCGAGGTGATATATCTCCTCAACTTTTGTTGGTTTCAGACATCCTGTTATCTTTCGATATGTGTTATTGAGTGTGGTGTCAAGCTTCTTCACATGGGCTGATCTGCTCCAAACTGGGCAAGCATATTCTGCGGATGACATGCATAGAGCAACAGCTGCACTTTGTACAGTTTTGGGGTCAGCGCCATAGTGTGAAGATACTAGCTTCCCGATGATGGCATTTCGAGATTCTACTTTGCCTATTGTCTTCTCGATATGTTTCTTGAAGGATAAAGTGCGGTCAAGTTTTACACCTAAATACACTGGATGCTCGCAGTGGTTAAGTTGCACATTGTTCCACTTTAGCTTCAGTTCTCTCTTTGCCTCCCTGTTCTTCAAGTGGAAAACACACACCTGAGTCTTGGATGGGTTTGCCCGTAGGTAGTTTGCTCTGTAGTACTCCGAAAGGCTTGCGAGCGCTGTGTTGAGATGGAGTTCAACAGCTTCGAAGGTACTATGCTGGGCTGTGATGCAGGTGTCATCTGCATAGATGAAGTTTCGAGTGTTCTCTGTTGAAGGGATGTCAGCAGTGTATATGTTGTAGAGTGTTGGCGCCAGGACGCCACCCTGGGGGAGACCGTTTTTCTGTTTCCGCCATCTGCTCTTCTGCCCATCCAGTTCGACAAAGAAGCGTCTGTTCTGCATCATCTTCTGAATGAATCTGGTGAGTTTGAGGTCATTTGTGATGTCATGAAGTTTTGTCTGTAGCCTTCGGTGATTGACAGTGTCATAAGCCGCAGATAAATCCACAAATACTGCACCTGTGATGAGGTTGTTCTGAAAACCGTCTTCGATGTGTTGGGTCAGGTTGAGAAGTTGTCCCGTGGTGGATTTTCCTGGTCGGAAACCTGCCTGCTCACAGTTCAGTTGGCTGTCAACGTGAGGCCCAATTCTGTTGAGAATAAGGCGTTCAAGCAGCTTGTATGTTTGGCACAGGAGCGAGATCGGTCGAAAGTTCTTGGCTTCGTTCGAGTCCTTTCCTGGCTTGAGGATAGCGACGACTTTGGTTCGGAGCCACTGTTTTGGGACACATGTGTTCTCGATGCAGTTGTTAAACATGTCTAGCAGCCATTTCTGTGCTACAGAGCCCATGTGTTTGATCTGCTCCGATCTGATGTCATCGATGCCTGCCGCCTTGTTGACGTGTAGCGTGGAGATACCTTTCTGTAGTTCTTCTTCAGAAATAGGTCTTGTGAAAAGAGACATGTTCTGGTCAACTCCAGGTAGTTTGTGCCTGTGTGAATTAGTCGTCTTGGGGGCCTTTCCATTTTTCAACAGCTGATTTGCTACTTCGTCAGCCGTAACATTATAATGCTGTTGAGCTCTGGTGCTGTCAATTCCGAGCTTGCGTATGGTGGCCCACGCTTTCCTGCTGCTGTGTCTTAAGTCTGTTGTTTCAATCATGTGCTGCCACATCTGCCTATGTCGTTGAGATATCCTTGATATAAGCTCTTCTCCAAGGTTGATGGTATCCTCTGAGAAGGCATCTGTGTCGTAGGCTGTGGTGTAGTTTGCCAGAAGCTGACTTGATTCCTCATCGATGCCTGGAATGTATGTCGTGCGGCAGCCTCTTGGGATATGTGTACGTGACACCTTCTTGACTATATCTATGAAGGATTCATAGTTCTTTGGATCTGCAGGGAGATGTGTTAGGGCATGATCAAGGTGTTCGGTGAAAGCAGGCCAGTCTGCCTTAGCAAAGTTGAACCTGCGCTTGAACGGGGTCTTGTTTGGTGTGATAACTGCAGTCAGTTGAATGCCGATGGGTCGGTGTTGGGATCTTGGAATCGGCTCAGCTACAAACTTACGACTGGTGGGAGCAAGCAGCCTGCTGCAGAAAACTAGATCCGGGTTGTAACGTCTCTTCCAGCGGGCACTGGCGAAAGACTTTGGGAGCTTTGGATCGTGGATTAGTTTTAGGTCGTTGTTTTGGGCCCATGTTTCAACTAGTGCTCCATCATCTCCAGTGGTATCATATCCCCATTGCGTGCTGTGGCTGTTGTAATCGCCAATCACAATATGCCTATTGGTAGTGGTGGAAGGATACGAAAAACTTATGTTTGGTGGCTTGTAGATGGAGGAGATCGTTAGTCCTTTGATTTTCACATTCAGCACTTCGATGTCGTTATTGTGGGTATAGGATGTAGAATCCGGTCTGATCTTCTCGTTCATGAAGATAGCACTTCCATATTGGCGATGTGGCCGCTCGATGGCAAGCTTCATACCCTTGATCTTGGGCCGTGGATTGTCGCTGCCGCGGTGAGTCTCTTGAAGACATAGCACATCGCAGTTCATTTGTTTGCACATATGTGCAAGGACTTCCTCCTTGGCATCTGATATACCTTCGGCGTTCCATAGAATGTAGAATGTTTAGACGAAAGTGCTAAAGTTTCCTGAACAGAATCTATAACATTTTCACCGTCCCATGTTTTCATCATTTATTTCTATTCATGAATATATATTTTGTCGCCAATAGATAGCAAGAAACGGTTCAGCAATGAGAATGAAGCAAGTTTTCTTTTGGGGGAGGGCATTAAATATTTAGAGATGTCCGTCAGGCCAATATATCAATACAAATTTAACTTGGTTTTTGGCGAAACTTATTTTTCAAGTCATACCCTCTTTCTTGTCGTGAAGAAAATAGAATTTCACTAATGTAGGGGTGTTAGGATATTACATTTTGTTTAGTGATTGCCAGTTATATCGGTATTTACAGACTTGGTTTTCCCCTCATGATCAATATTTCTAAAAGTACCATGCATTTGGGGCGCTTATGCAAAACCTAAACAAAATGTTAATGATGAAAATAAACATTGAATATAATACCCCCCCCCCCAAAAAAAAAAAAAAAAAAAAAAAAAAAAAAAAAAAAAAAAAAACGCTAGTTACATCTTATCCATCGCACAAAATACACAAAACCATGTACATTTTGCCTGTAATTGAACAACAACCCTTTTCCCGAGCACTGTAAGATGAATTCAAGCACACTTTAATCAATCTAAGCTATTACAGTTTTTTACTTGAAAATGCTTTACAGTACATTAAAAGGTTTACTGTGCACTTTGTTAAAGTCTGTCATTAATATTAATTTGCGCAGAGGCAAAAGGGCGTTATCTCCTAGTGTTAACGCCCTTCTATAGCTATCAAAAAAGCGGACTATATAAATAAAGATAATAATGTTCTAAATTGATTATTCTTTGGTAACGGATTTTATTTTCGTTGCAGGTTTCGTTGAGGCACCAGACACCAACAGCACTGTAATGATGACAACAACGCCTAGCCCCAGCATCAACGGGCCAGTGATGCCTTTAGTGGCCAAAACGGTACCCAGCATCTGTGGGTCGAATTTGGAGCAGTTCTGTGACCACGTAAGTTACCCCTTCTCTTCTGCTTCTTCCCCGTATTCTCCTCTTCCTCCTCCAGCTTCTCCTTCTTCCTTCACCCTCCTTCTCCCTGTGGAAATGTAAGTGATTCATTTTCCTCCTTCTTCTCCTCCACATATTGTCTTTATTTTCTCCCTCTTCATCACCATGTCCCTCGATCTCCCCAAGCACTCCTTGTTATGTTACCCTTTTCTATTTTTTGTCTTATCCTTTCGTATTTCTTCTCCCTCACCACCCTCCTCTCCTTCACTTTCACCTCCTCTCTCATACTTTCATCCTCTCCTTGCTTCTTTTCCACCTCTCTTTGCTCTTCTGATTTCCCCAAGCCTTCCCTTCCCATTCTTCACAATCTCCTTTCCCCTATATTTTCGTCCCTTCAATCCTCCTCCTCCATCTGATCTTCCACTTCCATCTTTCTGCTCACCAGCTTCATCCTCTCCTTCTATCTTTCTCGTCTTCCTGTTTTCCTCACTCTTCCTCTCCTCCTTTCTCTCCACCCATCTCCTTTTTCGGCAGTCTCTCACAGAGTGTTATGTCTCCTTAAACATGTTAAACCCGAATCAATATCGGGATCCATTTCTACACCAAAAGTAACCCTGCAATTTTTAATTCGTTAAACGCAGTGTGTGTGTGTGTGTGTACTGAAGATGTGTTACAGGTAAAAGGGTTAAAGCAATCTAATTTTACAGTGGAAGAGAAGGGTTTACAACCATAAGCCCCCCCCCCCCAAAAAAAAAGCATTCAAAATTGAGAAAAATCAGCCAAAAGACAGGAAGAACAAAAAAAAAAAAATAATAAAAATATATAAATACAAAAATATTTCCGACTGTTTGGCACCTTAAGGGCAATACAGCATTTTTTAAAGGCCTAACCATAGTACAATCTACCTGCGTTTTATTTTTTACATTGAAAATGCAGGCATGAATAATAGAGGTGAAAAATAAATCGACGGCATTTCACGAGCATTGCCCAACCCAAGCCAAGTTTTACGACTGTGTAACTTGCCTAATGAAAGGATGTTCCCATTAGGCTGCTCTCTCCTCATCCAAAGTTAAACTGCGTCACTGAACTGACGTCCAACGCTACCATTATCTGGGCATTCAAAATGTGCGTTGCTGATTAAAATTGCAGTTTCGCAACGCATGATTTTCTTTAGATCAAAGACTCACATGTGTTAAAGGGACAATGTGCATTGCAGTATGATACGGATTCAAATTGGAAAAGTGTTGGAAGCACGTTCTGCTATAATTATAGTCTGAAATTGGTTGTGCATCCTGATGATGAGGATAGGGGTAAAAATTATCTAGAAGCATCATGAGGATGTAGGATGAGGGTGAAGGATGACGAGTTGAAAGAGGGATGAGAGAAGAGAGAGAGAGAGAGAGAGAGAGAAAGAGAGAGAGAATGAGAGAGAGAGAGAGAGAGAGAGAGAATGAGAGAGGGGGAAAATGAGAGAGAGAGAGAGAGGGTGGGGGCGGAGGAGGAGGGAGGCGGGCTGAAAATATGACATAAGAAAAGTGAAAAGAGGGGAGGGGATATGGATATTGCAAAAACATGTTGTGGTGTAAGGCAGAGGGATAGATCTTTTCTGTATTAGATTGGAATGCCTATTCCAAAAGGGGCGCCGATAGACAATTTTTAATAGAGGGTATTGTAAGATCAAATTAGACCATTTGCAAGAGGATGGTCGTAAGATTCCAAACTTTACCAAGAGAATTAGAAAAAGACAAAATTGCGAAACGATGATAAATTTTTGCAGTTTACGTAATTGCCTACAGAAAATATTCAAGGAGACGTCACAAACGTCCCCAGTTTCACGCCTGCATAAACTAGTCCACATTATACTTGTGAATATTAATCACAACACATAGGCCTACCGAGAGGGATGATTATACATAGAATGCACACTGTCTTGGGTGACATTAATTTGGGATTTTGAGAGGACTAGGAGACACCGTCTTAAAGAACACACGAATGACCCATTTTTAATTTAACACTATTTAATCATTGGGTAAAAGAAGTACAGAGGGATAAGAGAGTTTAACGTATACATGCATATTGATGGTCATCTTATTACAACTTTTTCCTTTTTGTAACCTCTGTAATTTTTTTTGTTTCTGATTTATCTACAGAACGAGGATATATCGTTATCTGTGTACTTGACCGTCACCGCAGCCGTTATAGTGGTTCTAGCTCTGGTAAGTATATATATATCTTTATTTATATGTTTCTATATCATTCAAATCTCTGATGAAACATTTATGTAAATGTAGTTAATCCTGAAGCAGGGTGGTCTATTCACCATTGACGACCTGCATATACAATGCACAGATACAGCAGATAAAAATATATGCACTAAGGAAAATAAAAAACCGGTTCGTAGCAATGCCATTTGAAACTTGAAATTCAATGCCTGAATACAATGATTAAAACTATAAATATCTAGAAACCCATTAACTACTGCAAACAGTAATAACCAGTAGCTTAGCTGATACAATCCCTTATACAAGCTACCCTTATACTTCATGGTTATACCGACATGTTTCGTCATCCATTCCTCGCAACAGCATACTCCTAAAATGATGATAGTTAAAGGGGAAGGGCAACGAAAACATTACAACGGCGCTGTGAAAAGCCTTCTGCGCTAAGCCAATTTATTCATTTACTAATGAAAAATACGAGAGGCCAGCAGACGTATGTATGAGATACCAGTAGGCTAATTTAAGAGTGACCTTTTCGCGACCCGTCTCGCCATAGCATGAAGATAAACAAAAGCCAGATGGATGTCAAGGATGATGAAGGAAAACAATAGAAGAATGTGTTATTAGGTGTAGTGGTGATTATAATTATGTTGTCTGGTCCAACATTTTTAAAGATTGAAAAAAATGGTGTGGATTATTGTGACAATGTAGTGAAGGGTGACAGAGAGACAGAGAAATAGTGGGGAAAAGCGGTAAAGAAAAAGAAAAGACAAAAGAGGGAGAGAGAGAGAACGAGAAAGCAAGGAGAGATCAGAAGACATATAAGGTGAGAGAAAAAGAGAGGGGAATAGAGAGATGGAGAGAGAAAAATAATATACTGAGGATGAAAGCGAGAAAGATAAAGCAAAGAGAAGTGCTGAAAAGAGGACAGCAAGATAGAAATAGTAGGTTAAAGAGAAGAAGACTGAGGGTTAACTGGAGAAAGAAAAAAGTAAGAATAGAGAGACATATAGAAAGAAAGGATGGAGGTGTGTGTTTTTTTTTTTACTTACAGAGAGAGATAGAGATTTGAAAGTGACAGAGAAAGAGAGACAGAGAGAGAGAGAGAGAGAAAGTGTGTGTGAGAGAGAGAGAGAGAGAGTGACAGAGAAAGAGAGAGAGATAGAGAGAAAGTGAGACAGAGAGAGAGAGAGATAGAGATTTGAAAGTGACAGAGAAAGAAAAAGAGAAACAGATAGAGAAAGAACAAGAAAGAGAGAGAGAGATAGATATATATATAGATAGAGAGAGAGAGAGTGAGGGTGAAAGTAAAGTAAGACAGATCCAATCCCATCGTGCAATCAGGAGGAATTAGAGAGCAGACGACAGGGTGAATTTAAAAGAACTCAGTTGATATCTACTGCTGATTGAGAAAGACTGGGCCACCAATTAGGGCGCGAAACGGCGACAACTGAAAAACCGCCACACTTTCCCACAACACCCGTAGTCCGTAGTTTAACGTGCACAGAGCCTTTCGGACCAACGTCGCATTCCAAAATCGTCTGCATAATAATATTTGACCATTGTAAATGTAAGTATTGACGACACAAGCGTTACGCTGTGACTGAAAAATACATCTCTTATAGCTGCCTTTTGGCTTTCGTCCTGTCTTATAGGTTGTACGACTCTTGCTCCAGCAACAGTTGCACCATGGTCAATTCCCTACACTAACCGAATTCCAATTCTTAACTACAACCCTAGATCCAGTCCTATACCTAACCCTAACCCTATAACCTAGAATCCAGATGGAACACTAACCTTGAAACTATGATATCTTTTACAAAATGAAAGTCCATAGCAATACGTCGCAGGAGCAGTGTGATCACCCGAACCAGCGGCACACACCTATACTTCAAATGCACAGCTCCCCCCCCCAAAAAGGTAGTCTTTACTGAACAAATCTATATGCCTGATACCTTCTGCGATACTTAGATGGATCGGTTGTGTATAAATAATTGACCGATATCTTGACAACTTCAAAAGGTTAAGTGACCATTTAAAATAGAATCTGGGAGACTCAAAATGCGTCGGTTTACCGTTCCCCGCATACATTTCGAGGCGTAATATTATGGAAGAGAACAGAGGTGGTCATTCCGTCCGCTTGACCTTGTATCGCCAATAAGGTACAAAATGCTTGACCAAACCAACCCTATACGCAGGTCAGTGAATAGGACGATTCCTTCCTTCCGCAATCTTCTGACACAGAAAGGGAACTTTGGCCGAAGCCGCCAGAGACATTTGGATGACCTTTTGGAGGCAGAGTTAGAACCGCGTTCTATATTTTCATGAAATTGCATACAATGACAAGCTCTTCCAAGATTAATCACAGTGGTGCAAAAGTGTGTTCCCACTTTCAAGAAATTGCTGGAACCTGCAATCTTCCCCAAATATGTAATGTTTGGAGAACATGGTTAAAGAGGTCTTATATAATATATAGGTATATATATATAATGTTTCCGATTCTTAAGGAATTTCGTATACCTACAAACTTTTGAAAATTAACCCCTTAAAATAATATGAATAAACACATTGAGAAAGAACTGCGTTCTACTTGTGATGACACATTGCATCCAGTGACAAACTGTCCAAACAATAATCATAGTGATGCAAAATATGTTCACATTCTCCACTCAAAGTCTGATATCCCGATACATCTTCCATGTAATCATCACGGAATTGCAGACCCCTATTTTTGAAAGAATTATGGCAGTATGAACGCACCTGATCTCGGTTCAAGATGGACGGCCATACAGGCAGGTGCTTGGGTGAAGCGCGGGAAGCTGTCTGTTTTTTGTTTGACGTGTCTCCATTGTATTGTTGCATCAGTGCACATTGCATGTCACCGATGAAATATAATGTCATCATGCATGCATGCACGGGTCTTACCGGGTCATAGTTGTCAACTCTTTTGTGGAAAATCACTGAATATTATGATACGAGATCCATCTACCGTAGAAAATAATCATAAATACGCGTCCGAGATACTTGGATCCGAGGTACGTTGTTTAATATTGTGAAATAAAAATTTGAAGTAGGCCTAGTTGCATAAATCCCAAATTATTTTGTCGCGAATTTTAAGGCAGATGATATTATTTAGTGTAAAACAAAATCCTCTTTTTCTAAATTCAACGTGTAAATGCATTTCTAGTAAATATTTGAATTGATAATTTGTAATCATATTTCAAACCTATTTTCTCTCTCTCTCTCTCTCTCTTCTTGGTTATAATGTTGCACAGATCTTCGTACCATCATAGCTAACTAAAACGTTAAATTCCTTTAACAGTAAATTTTCTGTTCATACAAGAAGATACAACATGATTATTTTATACCGCTCTACCAAATGACAATTTGCTTGCCATCATTCAATTCTCGTGAAATATAACAAAATACAAAGTTTGATGAAGGGGCAAAATCAAATGATCATTCCATGTAATCCATTTCCCATTACAGAGCTAATAAAATATGAATGTAATTCCCCTATATCCAAGGGAGGTCCCCTCAATAGCCCCTGCACAGAGATGGAGATTAAGAAAAGATAAGTTGTGTATCTTGTGTCTTTGCCCTCGCATGTCCTTGCTCGAGCAATCAGTCAGATTTGACTTCAGCCTCAGCCACGATATTCGTTCAAAGGGGCCCTAAAGAGGGGCAGCGCCAAAAGGCTGTTAAAAAGAATGAAAAATCGATGTTTTCGAGGGAAGGGCTGCTGAAGGCCAAGACGAAGTGATATTGCGAGTGTTATTGTGCGGAGGGAATGCACATTATGATTCAGTGTATACATGGTGCCTGATCTGTTAGATGCACGCAATTTTCTATAAGTAGAGGCATCGTTAGATTATTATTTTTTGGAAGGGGCATCGACACAAATCGAAACAAAACACCAAAAAATAAACACACCACACCCCTAGCTAACGACTACACTTCTAATAAGCTGTGTACTCACGAAAATACATTTTGTAAAGGTTTGGCGAAATTCACAAAAAATTAATTATAGCAACTAATAATTAATGATTGCCATATGGGATCTAAACTTCCGTTGCTTCATTTACAAAATGTCAGTACGTCAGTAACATATTTATGATTTGTGTGGAAAATACAAAACGTATTACATCAAAAAAAGATGATGTAGAAAGAGAACTTTATTCATCTAGTCATTCTAGTGTCTCAATATTAATGATGATTTCTTTTTAAAAGAAAAGTCAATTAGTATTTATTTCATACGGAGATACTGAACGATCCCAATATCATTACCTATATCACCCATTTCATGATAGGAATTTCCATAAATGCCCTTGGGTATGTCCGTTATAGACAAAACTTGCAATATCTCTCGTTATTTTAAAACTTGCTACCCTGGAAGAACCCCAAAGCCAGGACATTAGCTTATGAACCTAGCAGACGTCTGGCGTCGACCAAGGGAAAGAGCCTTTACAAAGTCTCTTAAAAAACACAGCTCCCCCCATGCTTTATAAATTTACAATGACCTTAATTAGGGAATCTGCATCTTGCGTGGCTGGGCGATATTTGTTGGGAGATTAATCATGGTGGTGAGATAAGATGGGGTCAGATGAAGAGTTGAAATCAAGACGGAAGAGAATAAGACGGAGGAATGGAAGAAGAGCAAGAAGAATAGGTGATGCAGTAGGAGATAAAGAAATACAAAAGATTTCGTGAAAGAAGAGAAAGGTGAGGAATGGGAAAAATGATTAGAAAATGAAGACGTATATGAGATGAAGTTTTAAAAAAATGAAAAGAAAACGAGAAGAGAAAAGAGAGACGATGAAAGCAGTATTGAAAATGAGTGACGAAAGAGAGAAGACAAATCTTTCGCGCAATGTTTTGACAGTCACGGTGAAGAATAGGTAGAAAAAAAGTGGATTATGTAAATGTACAACACGAAAGTTTTACACAATGTGCCCCGCGTTTATGTAATTTCAAATTAGATTACTCTTGCCCTTTTGTATATCTGCATTCAAAACATGCGAAAGGAGAAGGTTTGACATGTATAAAAGCACAAATCTTCTGATACACTGCTTTCCCTTGAGTTCTACATGTCATTGTAAAGGTCGCAGGTGACATTCGTCTCTATGGTACAAATTAGTAGAAAATTGGCAAACTGAAGAAAAGGTCGTCTGGCCTCGCTAGATGTTTTCGTGGAATATACCTCATGACGTTTGTGTTTATTGCTAGAAATGAGATGTGGAAATGGTACATATCCATTTTAAATTAACAAGAACAAAACATGAATATTATGTCATACCCGACACATAGGCTTTTATTCTTCTTCATCTTTTTCATCCCCATCATTATTATCATTATAACCACCTTTATCACCATCATTAGTATCACCATCATCATCATCATAATCATCATCCTCACCATTACCATCATCATCATCACCACCATCACTATCATCGCCATCCTCATCACCATCGTTTCTTAACTTATCTAATTTCTTTTGTCGATTCATCTTCTTCATTGCAGAAAAAGAAAGATTCCTCTATTTGTATACTGCAAACATTATGGTTTGAAGTACACAATACGGTTCCCTCCCCTCTTCATATGTCTTGGTACCGTGGGGAAGTTATTAATAATAATATCGGACAATGTCAATGAATAATTGTATATCATTAGCTTACACGAGTATCTCGAATTAGGTCGGACAAAAAGATGATTGTAGTGAAAATACTCCATATTCCTCATGGTTCAGTGTCAGCGTTGCAGATCACGTCTGTGTATTTAATGTGGCCGATTTTTTTTTATTCCCACCATTATTATCATTATCATCATCCCTATCACCATCATCAGCATCATCATCATCGTCATCATAATCATCATCCTCACCATCATCATCATCATCATCCTCATCATCATCCTCATTATCATCCTCATTACCACCATCATACTCCATATCATCATGCTTCGTTGCTCTAGTCAGTGTTGCAGATCACGTCTGGGTATTTAATGTGGCTGATTTGATAGGATGCAAACTAGCCGTGACTGTGCATACACAATAAGTAGACAGACAGTCCCATGCAAACAAGCAAAAGACAGGCATGTGTCCTTAATCGCGAGCCCTCCCTCACCCTTGGAAGGGACGATGCAAATGTTCTGAATTTTCTAATGAGATTGTTATCGGATAAAAGAAGATTATATGCCATTTTTGTCATGGATTGTCGTTTGTCCTCTTCCAAAAAAATAAATTAAAAAGCATCCCGGTTAAAAACGATCAGTGGCGGGTGCAACAGTGGGGTTCAGGAGCACTTGCCCTCTACCCCCACCTCTCCCCACCTCTCCGTCTCCGACCGAACCAGTTCAACAGTGCTCTTGATCTTCACATGATTATAAACACCGTCTTGTTTGCTCCTCCCGTGAATTAGAGGATTTTATTTGTTTTCCTCAAGCCTGTTGCCCCTCTTCTCATTTAAAAAATGTTGGTTTTGATTTTATTTTTTTATCGCAGTCATTTGAGGACAGAATAATAAATGTTAATTTGTTTTCATTTATACAACATTATCATAATTGTCATAAAAAAAATCATGTTTTTTTTAATAAACATTCAATATGTTTCCTTTTAATCAAGCATCTCTCTATTTTACTTTTTATTTTTTCCAGATCCATTTCTTGATGGCGCTGGCGGCCAATCACACCTACATACGAATATTCCACAAGGACTTGCCGGGTAGGACCAAGTACGGAGGCAACGACTACATCGGACATCGCTACAGCGACGCGGGCATGCCGCTCCAAGAACCGCTCAATATCCAGGACGAAAATACTCATTTCTGAGTCCAGCAACGCTAGAGGGCCTTCTCCTTTTACTTTTTAATCAATCGTATTAATTTTGTTGCTGGTTTGATGACGAAGACGCCTTGCCGTTTTGAGGTCTTGACTCCGTTTAGGGATCTTGTGTAACTTGGAAAGATCTCTCGGAGTATGGTGGTGACATTTTCTAAGTTCTTATGAAGACCGCCTTCAACGGCCTTTTTCTTAAAATGTGATGAGTTCTGATGAAGGCCGGGTTGCCGTTTTTGGAGAAAACAGGGGTGCTTTTTGCTTCTTAAGAAGAATATTTAAAAAAACGAAATACAGGGTTTTGATGTGATACGGGCAAGCTTTTTACGTAAAATTACGTTTATGTTTGAAGCTGCTATTGATGTGACGGTATAGGAAGAGCAAGCCATTCTTCTCACTATGTCTTGTGGGCTTAGGTTTGGAAAGGGGAAGGGATTTGCAGTGAATGGATAAGGAGAAAAGAGGATAGAAATAGAAGGAGAGATCATGATGGAAATGCTAAGAGAAAGATAGAGAGAGAGAGAAAAAAAAAGGTTGCCTATAAATTAAAGCACATTCTGACGTGGTCGGAAGCCTAATTTCCTCCCGCCCATTTCAAATAGAGATTGTGTTCCTGAAAACTAATTCACTAGTTTAGGAGAAATTAACAAAAACAAAGACGTGATGGGGTTGCTTTAGCCCATCCCTTTGAATGGCAAAATCGGCAGCTGAGCAAAGTTTGACTATCCATTTTGTATCCATCTGTATTTACTGCCAATGATGAATATACAAACAGAGGATACTACTCCCGTGCGCTGGCTACACTTTGTGATAATTTACCACTGGTCGATAAGCGCTATTTTGATCGATGTCAATGAACTGACCAAAATTGAGCATCAATATCGAATTTCATTTTTCTTGATTTAAATTCATTAGCTCGATCTGATTTTGCTGTCCATACGGTATGGGATCTCACACCGTGTTTCTGAACACGCTGAGATACCTCACACTTTGTGGACAGCAGAATTTCATTTCAATTCGACGTCCGTGTGGTGAAAGATATATATCTTATACTAAGAAATGCAATGTAATATCTTACACCGTATGGTCAGCAAAATCTGATTTATTGAGACAGGTTAAATCAGGAAGAATGAATTCATTTATTATCCTGTTGTGATCAAAACTAATTTTTAATCAGCATTGTTAGTAATCTTAGCCCTGGATTTGATACATACATGTAACTCTCAAAGTGACAATTCATTGATATTTCATAAAATAGAAATAAACGACTTATTGATAAGAATGATTAGACTAACCAAAGGTAAAATGGCGGGTAAGGAACGAAATCTTTGTATGGGTTCTGCATACAGAGGTTCCAGAGCATGTCAGAGTTTGATTGTTGGACGAAGAAAAGAAATGTCAGAATGAGAAAGATGACGTAAGACTAAAATATCGAAATATGACCCGAATTGTGCATTGTCAATCGACGAAAACTCAGCACAATGACTTGAACGTGACGTCATTCGAGAAGTAATGTATTTGAACATAAATTTGAATTGTATATCTTGGTTTGAAGTAAACTCATATACCAGTAACGTGGTATGAAAATTCTATTGATGTGAAAAAATTGTGAAGAACTTAGCTTGATGTACATAATTTTATCCAAATTTTATTCGAGTTTAATAGTCAGTAACTTAGCTCAAACGTGTGAAAAAATAATGTAGTCGATTGCTGTTTTCTTAGAAAACAACGGTAGTTAGTCATTGAAGAAATTTATATCGGAATTTGAATGTTGCAGATTTTTCACGTGACTGTGTATGTAGTTAAGGTATAGCAAGTCGTCTAGGTGATACGTGGTATTGTATATAGCTTCTATACATGGACATCATGCATTTCAAAACATGTTATTTATTGTAGCTATTGCAGAGTAAATGGTGTATTGTATAATGGCTGACAAGTGAACATATTGTAATGAAGAAGCGATTTTGAATGTTGTATTTTAATGTTGTAACTTTAAGTAGCTCTTATCTTGTCAAGAAACGTTTTCAAAATGGCGAATTTACTCCTGCGACTGTCAGTGACTTTTTTTATTTTGTATCTGTGTGCATACAAATTTTATTTTGTCGGAATTTCCCTTTTTAACTAGGTCTCTAGGAAACAAAGCGAGAATGTAGGAATATTTTGTTTTTTTTCCATCATAATGAAGAATATAATGCTAGCACAATCATAGATTTTTACCTTCAGAAAGCTTTTTAACTTCGAATTCGCTATAGATGGGTAATTAAAATTCTATCCAGCATTGCCGATCAACACTGAGAGGCAAATTCCCTTAATGATTTCATGCAAAAAATATGACAGTGTAATTGGATCATTTCATGTATTTTTACACTAATAATGACAATATCAAAGTGGAAAAGTTACAAGGAATTAGTCCAAAATGTGTGCTGATAATTCAAATTTCATGGACACGTGTTGCCGATTTGAGGAAAATGTCTTGTCTTGGAAGAAAAAGAAAATCATGAATTGGACAGAAATTTTGATAAGCTTCAGAATGTATTAATAAAAAAGGAATCGTTTATAATACCCATCGAAATCTATTGTACCATTTTTCGTCAATTGAAACGAGATAGTGATTTATTTTTCCATGAACCTCCAAATCATCAGCAGATAATCTAATTCTAATTCAGAATTGTGAGCCCGTTACAAAAATGTGTAAACTACTCCTAATTGATTACCTAGTGAGGAGAACGGTCTCTTTAAAGTTTGCCTTCTTATGCTAAACATCTTTCCATGAATTTGCCATTTTAATAGCAACAATGTCAGAGGCACAAAGCGGCTCATGTCCATTGACCATTGTACAATGGATAAAGTGTCGCATGATGAAGAACAGTTAGTCACCGATGCAAAACGGCGGCCATCTTGTGACTTCGGCATCTCACACAGGTGATAACTTGTTGGCAGTGAGCTTGTCATCCTTTGTCACATTTTCGAATAATTTTCAGAGCTCTGGATCGATGTCCTACAGCTACAATCCATTCATGCAAATTGTTGCTTCACAAAAGAAACTGCTCAGCTATTTGAACCACCTGAACCCATCCATGACTTTGTGATAGGCCTAGAAGAAAAAATGTCATTCATGTGATAATTCGTTACACCCAAATGGGCTATTATAAAGGAAGTCGAACACATTCTTTAGCTCCGCGCGCCAAACATGATACAGGCCAGTGAGTATCTCATTAGTGATCAAGCATGTTGTGCTTCTCTCTCACATTTTACACCCGACATCAATTGTACACCCGTCATTAATGGCGACCTACATGGAAGGATGTCTAGCAAGGGAAAGGTAACATGAAGACATTTTTATAATTAATAGGTTATCAAGAAGTAGGTTTAGTTTCGGGATTTAAGAACAGACTGACTTATTTTCTAGATTATCTACAAAACTAAAACTTTGCGTTCATTCTTTAAGAAAATGGAAAGAAACTTGCGGCGAAAACGTTTCTTGGCGTCTATAAACTGTTCACTGCAATCTCTAGACTTATTTGTAGGTCTATAACGCTTATTAAGTTTTCCATTCAATTTGCCTTGTCATTGTTGGTGAATATTATGTGACATGGACATTTTTAATGTTGTGAACTTGTGTAAGTAGGTGTCAATTTTGTGTCATTTTTGGAAAGTTGTGAACTATAAAGCAGTCCGCCATGCGTTGCCATTCGATTCTTATCACTTCGAATTGTCAATATAAGAAAGCGGTACAAGAAAGACCAAAACAAGTGTTGGTAAAAGCGAGTTTTCTGATATTTTGTTTTCGTTCGGCTGGTCGGTATTTTAGAAATGAAGGTATTAAATCTGTGTGCATCAGTAATTGATGAAGAACACAATTTGTTATCCGTTGTCATTAATAATCTATGACTCTAGGTTATAAGCGTGCTGATTTTTTCAGCTGCTGTTTTCATGTTCTGAATTGGTTACTGATGTAGCTCACATATTTTATGGCCTTGATTGCCAAAAGGTGACAATCTAATCAGTATTTTGACATTTTTAAGCAAAAGAGTATTGGCAGAAAATGATGATATCCTTCAAATCTACAATGCGCAAACCTGTCTTTTAACGAAGTTTTGAGTTGTATGATAAAAAGTGTAATTTTTATAAGACCTATAACAAGTGAGGGGATATGTATTTAAATTGTATTTTATCGGGTTTTTATCGGGTTGGATATCTTGTCGAGACTGAGAATAGCATAACATTATATTTTCAAAAAAATTATGTCGGAAATAATCGGTGTTCATGGCAAACAAATATGAGTATGTTAGGTCTGAATATACGCCTTATTCAAAATTAAAAGTAAAGCAGTATGTGAGCGACTACTGCAAAATAATTGCCATCATGATATCGCTTTTTTGTTAAAATTTTCGTTTCTCAGTACTAAAATTGAACATAGTTTCGGTGTAGCCTTGTTTTGTAGTCCATGAGCGAGAGGTAAGGTACGTTATTTAAATAAAATCCTTCGGCTTTAATGTAGAGACATGTAATCAACGTTGGTTAAACAAAAAATCATTCGTCTTTCTATATTTTGTTTAAAACAATCTGCAGGGAAACTATAAGAGGAATATAACGTTTCAAAGAAATTTAACTGAACATAACCTGAGGCTAAAAGCTTTTATACTCTTTCAAATGCGTTTCTCCCCTTTTCCAGTCAAGGTGCTTTTTTACATAACTATCTTCATGAATATTATTTGTATAACCATTATGTATATACGTAGAATGTGCGCATTATCATACTTGCCTGTTCTGTGATTTAAAAAAAAATGTATTTACATTATTTTTCGTGAATACATCATATACTATTATGTATTAAAAACATTTGACTCTTTTGATGAATCAGATAGAGGTTTGCACAATGTAAAGTTGAATAATTTCATATTTTCTGGAGTCAGTTTTATCACGCTTTCTTTAATGCCATTCTTTAAATAATACTTATTTAATTCGATTTTCACTTTTTCAAGAATCTGTGTGTATCAGTAATTTCCCTCAGAACACAACAATTCCATTATAAATCGCACCTGTCAATCCTGCCATCCTTTTGCTATCCTGTGTCATTAATGATTCGTGATTTCGGGTTAAAATCGGATGCCACGGAAGTTTAGCTGCCTTGAACGATGGCAATTGCTGTGTTATGACTTTATTCTGTTTTTAGGCATCTTAACAAGTGGAACTTTAATTAAAAAATCAAAGCATTATTTGAAAAATAACATTTAAAAAGAAATTGCCAATATTTCATTGCAAATAAAGTTTTTTAACTTTACAATGTGGAAAATCTCAATCTGATACTAGTTAGGCCTATAACTGTTCAGTTATTAATGATCAAAAGTGTCAATCTTTTCAAATATCTATAGTGAAATTGTGGTGGGCATTATTAGGGAGAGGGCGATAAAAAACGTGTATTTCGATTTTAAAAAGCACTTTCCTTTTTGGTGAAGTTCAGATAGTTGTTGTAAAAAAAAGAGAGAAATTTGATTTATTTATAGTGGAAAAGTTTGTATACCGAAAAAACAGTATCTGAAATTTGGTGGGCGGGTCACAACTAAGCTGCATAATAATATTATCAGGTGAGGGGTAAGATATTAATGAATGCATTAAATAGAAGTAATCTTATTGAAATATAGGTTTCAGAATAGGGAAAACTAATAAACTTCTCAAAAAATGTTATGACATTCATGTTCGAGCTATGATATCTCTTGTTTTAATGTACTATCATTGCATGTACAATATTGCATGTACAATAATGCTCTATTTGTGATGATTATATCATCATGGATTGGGCGCTACACCTGAATTTGGGGTCAAGTCAATTGAAAAATGGTTTTAAACAAATCTTCATTTTTAAGAATGAATTTTGCAACAATTCTCTTTTGAACTTGGCCCCATATTGCACATCATCATATTCAAGTAAACTACGCATCAATTTTAATGAAAATAGACAATCTTTTTTATTATACCAATTTTAAATATGATAGCACAATACAATGAGAGATATTATCGCTCAAGCTTGAATTTCAGAACTTTTTTATGGGGGTTTATATATCGCAGTGTATCTCTGACTCCAATGCAATATTATGTATTTGTTCAAGCGAAGCTTTTGCCTTTGTTTGATAAGTTTGTCGTATGATTTCTGTTAAAATGGTGACTATCTTTTTATTTAGTTTTTTATTTCTATGCAATGTAACTATGTTTGAAAAACAAATATTTTCGTTTTTCTTATTTTTAACGTTTTGAAATCATGTATGTTGCGTGCTATTCACACCTTAGTCCTAATTCTCACACCAACAGAGAAAATAGTTTTTGACCATACAGGTTGTAGATGAAAGCAAGTACCGGTATATGGTCGAATTATGTTATAAGCCCTATAGCGACATACGGCGTAATGGTAGAATATTATAGGCCTTGTAGTATTCAACATTGTTATTTGTTAACACCCAATAGATAATGTTATGCAATTATTGGGGGAAAAGAAGCCTCACGGTGTGTAGTCCTATACGTTATAAGTCTTTCAGGTTTTAAAGCTAAAGCATTTTAATATTATTTTCGCATGTTGAAAAGAAAACAAATTACACAAGCGGTTTTATAAGATCTATCGCGGAGAGGAATGATTTTAGGGATTTCTAAAATTCATTACCAAGGAGGAGGTGATTATGAGGGGATTCTTGTAGGGAAATATTACCATAATAACATGATAATCAAAATAAGAAATGGTCTTACAGTGATGTCTACATTATTTTTTCCCCTTTTCACTTAAATGCAGTACGTCACATTGACCGTGTTGACATTAATGTCGTGAAATATCTGTTTGTGGATTGTGTCAAATCTGGTTGTAAATAAATCGTGTTGTATGGACTTTCAAAAACAATGCGGTTGTGACGTTTCGATTTGTTTACTATTTTGTTGATAACGCGATCGCAAAGACTTTCAAGATATGAACCTACGGCAATTTTAGTCGCCTTATGCGCCATCTATTATTTTTATTTCTTTATTTGTTTCATTTATACGAACGTAACATCAAACAATAACAAATTATAGCACATATAAACGATGATAATAATACAAATAATAATGATAATAATGAAAATGAAGAAAACGAAAAACAACCCATGTCTGGGGATTGCTCAAAAGAAAAAAAAAAATTCTGAGTAAGTTATCTCTTCACTGATTGTTTATTACGAAGATGACAATGGCATTTGACATAATCCGAATATGATTTATATAGGCAATACAAAACAATAGACAAATAATAAGTATTGAAATAGCTCTCTGAGATGAATTCTTGATAGTCTTTGCTTTCGTGTTGGGTGCAGGTTTTGTTATTGACTATTTAATTGCTTTCAATGCTTTGCTGTAAATTAATCAAATGAAATAGACTAAGGTGCGATGGGAGAATAAAGTGTATGTGGGGGGGGGGGGGGGGGTGCATGGTTGACCAAAGAGCAAGTCTAGAATTCTTAAAGGGCCACTCTAACCCAACTAATATAACTTTTAAAACATGAATACACCTCTACATATTAATATTCCAGCCTCTGATTTTTCAGAAAATCTCTAAATTAACCCAAAGAATGATAATAACCATCCATTTTTCAGTTCCCACGCTTGCTTGGCTACGCCTCTCGAAAAAAGGTAATACGGTCACGTGGCTTGATGACGCATTTGACGTCATTGCGGGCATGTCCGATTTGATAATTTCATAATTTCATAATTAGGAATGACGAAATTGTGTAGTGTCCGTAACGCCTACCACCCCTGCTGTGTTGCTGTTCATAAAATGATAACCAATATCGTTTCCTCCAGGATATTGCAAGGTATTAACCCTAGGGTATGGATGAACAACTTGGGGTTGATGAAACTTCTCTATTGCATACTTCATTTTTGGACCCAAGTGCAAATGATTTTGCACCCTGATTGTGGCTATACCGACACCATCTCTTTTGCCTTATGTCTTCTACATTTCACTTATTATCTCCACATTTTCCTCCTCTACACTTCATCAAGAACGCAGATCGGATCAACCCAAATGCTACCTCTTACAGCAGATTTCATTTAAGGTTTAGTATATTCTCCCCACGCTACTTATTCACATAAAAGTATCATCTTTGAAAAGCATTTAATCTCCGTATATTATCTCACGTTCTCTTCCCCCACTGTAACCACTTTTTTTTTGCCATTTGATTGGGGGCAAGTGCCCCCCTCCCCCGTAGCTACACAACTGCCTAAAGAATACTCTGCATTTCTATAGAAACGGGATGAACATGAAGGACAGAGCAGAGAGGAAAGGAAAAGGAGAGATGGTGTTTGATGAGCCCTTGAACTTCTCCAATGTTGAAGCACCTGTACCAGAGCCAAAGACTGGCCTGTTAACTGCCCCGGTTCCTTCCGGACCACTTCCTCTTATAACCCTCACCTCTCATCGCCTCTGAGAAAACAGGGACTTCCCCTAACGACTAGTCTTCAATTCCAGTCCCTGGATATTTCTACTTTTTTTTTTTTTACAAGATAGCATTATATATCATATTTGTTTGATGCTATAAATAAACAGTATATAAGAAATGTCAATATAGTCCGTTAGTACTATTTGCAAAAAAGTTAAGAATACACTAAACAAAAAATGGAATAATTTAATTTAACTTTTTTTTACAAATTTCTATTAGAAACACGAGTAATGATAGAGTTGGCATTATGTGATAATTTATAGATTCAGAATATTAATTCCATGACAACGGTGTAGGGTACTAGGGATGTTAGAATAGCTAACGTTTTTCATAGGGTGTATACACTTTTCTTGAATATTTTAGTCTTTATAGAATAATTTTATGAATGTAGTAAATGTATAAATAAAACAACTAATAACATTGTACTTCATTACACACAGGTCTTAAAATTTATTTAGACCAATGCAAACAGTACGTGTACTGCAAAAAAACATGATTATGACAATTATGACTTGTACCAGACCGAGGTTTTTTTAACATTAAATTGAAACATAATAACGCTTTGAATATTCAATTAGATTTCATTTTTTTGTGATCATATTAAGTCCACAAAATCTGTGGGTGGCAATAACGAATTCTGAACAACACCTTTGTGCATCGCCACTGTCATTTCTGCACATCTTTCATTAGCCAGTGCCTTTAATGATTCATAAATCTGGGTTTGAAGGAAAAAAAAGATGCCCTCGAATTTCAACTGCAAATGGACAAGGGCACTGTTGTGTTCTGAAATAATTATTGTTATGCATAGATTTTGATGCCTTGATTTTACAAGAAGGGAAAATATGATTAAATATTTGTATTGTTTTAAGAAAAGTATTCAAAAAAGAAATCTCATTAAAAAGTGACTCTAAATATAGTAAAGAATGTGAAAACCTTTGATACAAGTCATAACTATAATCACAAATATTAACAATATTTGTTTTCTTCAGTTTTAATTGTATTAATTTCACTTGGGGAAAAAGTTCAAAAATGATGGCCTTTGTGTAATGAAGTACATGAATATTTCTGTGTTTTGTTATTATTTGTGTACTTTATTCATTCAAGTGAGTATGATGTGTGAGTGAAATAAACTGTTGCCCATATAGTTGGACAAAAATTCTCTAACTTTTCATTAAGTGATTGTGACAGTATGATAAGATTAATTTTATATCTTCTAAGAAATTTATTGATCAATCTCTACCAGTGACGCCTGGGCGAACACTACAGTTGTGCCCCATCTCTCCACAAAATCCAAGCGAGAGAGAAAAGAGACCGGGCGGTTCACTTTTATTTTTCATTATTTTATCCTATGTCCCGTGTGGGGGGGGGGGGGATATTTAACAAGAGGCTGATTAATTTATAGCAGGGAGCAAAGCGTCTAAAAACGCAATTTATAAACTATATCCTATATTGGGACGCAAAATTAAAAGATCCTGAGGCAACATAATTATGCGAGGGAGCAAAGTGACTGAGCATTATAATTTTTTTTCTTCTATTTTAAACCGTCAAAATATAATTCCTGATGTAATTTGCCCTGTTTTTTGAGGGGGGGGGGCACATGTAATCCTTAGTTTTAAAATAATATCGTCTTTCTTTTCTCCCCTTTTCCCCTCTCTTTTGAGATTTTTGCGCCCCTCCAAGAGACCCCGCAGCACATGTCCCCTCTGCCCCCCCCCCTTAGATACACCACTGATATTTATGATCCATTAGATTGATCAATAAAATTCTGAAAATAGAAGAAAAAAGTGATATAAATGATGAAAAAATGCGTACACTGCCTGTATTAGGTATTAATATTCTTGACTGTCTAAAAACAAAATATCACTATCACTTCAGGAAAAGAGATATAAAATAAATGTATTCCAACTTTATAGGCAAAAGTATAAGAGGGACTTGTGAGTAGACTAAGCCGAGTGTGATCAGGTTGTTTGGTGTTGTGACGGTTGCTCAGCTTCTGTTTCCTTTCTTCTCTCTAGTTTTGTTTTTTCGTTTGGACATTCCCTGTCATCACCTGATTGATTGATGTGATGTGATGAAGTAAGATTTTAACATTAACCAATGTAAGGCCAAATAAAATTGATTCCTGGTTTCCGACCCCCTTTTCCATTTGTTCTCCTCATTTATTTATTTCTTATATGGGAGGTTCTTATTAAATGAAATGTTTAAGAATTTGAAAAAATGCACGACAATGATTTAAAAATAAAAGTAGTATATTGCATTTTTTGTTTTAATTCGAGTTTTAAAAAAAAATTGATCCAATAGCGATTTAACATATCAAATATTGAATTACATGGACCTCCCTTACTTTGAAGAAGAAAAAAAGTCTGGTTGAGAAACAAGGAATCAATTTTACATGGCCTAACTCTAGACCAAGCAACTATTAGTATGCATATAAACCCTCAACCTCAACCATATTAAACACCCTATACACTGTGTCCCAGAAAGAAAGAAAAACAAAACTTGAAAACCAACGGTTGTGGAGAAAATAATTTGTTTTTCATGAAGTAGAAGTACATAACTGATTCTTTGATTGCATTAATAATATCAAAATCAAAATCCATTTGTAAGATTTGATAAATTGTGCAAGAATTCCATTGTTTGATGATGTACATTCCAAAAAGCAATTAGTGACATTTTCTGGGATGGCGGAATCCTGCACCCTCAATATTTTCCCAAAACCAATAGACCAGTTCACGGTTAGCACATTACTGCAATGACCCCGAATATCCACAGATCTTAAAAACATGAAGAGGTCCCACTTTTTACATTTTGAAATAATCACTCCTACAGCGATGGAGGTGCTATATAAATAGCCTTTGTTTCCCCTTTTCAAAGAATACTTCCACCTGTGTATCATGGATGGCACTGAATGTGCATGAATGAATAATGTTACATAACTTTCATGAACACGTATCCAGTATTTCGTCTCCGTGTATTTCAAAATTGTTCTGCAATGACCTTTATCTGCTCATGCTCAGACTGCAACCGTGAACTGGCTTATTAATAGCCCTCAAGCAATGAAAAAATGCCTCTTTTGTAATTGAAAAGGGTACCAATTTTTGCCTTGCATGCCCACTGAACCATACCTTGAAAGCAGGGACTTGCAGAGTCAATAGTTTTTTTTCTGGGACGCACTGCATATTCTAAAGGAAGTCCAAGATAATTTTTAAAAGCTCTAGCAGGGCTTGAAAATAAGTCAAGTCATTTAAAAATCTTAGATGTGACGGGATAAATTTTTTAAAAATTCTTAAAAACAATTCCTGAATGGAAAAAAGACCCCAAAAATAAACGTTTCACTATAATATAATCAATTATTCCAATCGAGTGAACAAATTATTTGAGTTGTATCTTTTTTAATAAATCCTATCACATCTTAAGATTCAAAGAGAAGAGAGCATACCACTAAACAAAATAAATACACATTACAAAGCTTGCGTTTTAGTTCAAAGATATTCCGATTTATTTTACATACAATAAATAATGATTAAAATTTATTTACAATTCAAAAGCATTGCATATCCATAAAATATTTGAATAGTAGCAAAAACAGACATACTATAGCTTTTCATATTGCACTCATCAGAGTTGATCACAAGAATGAACAGAAAGCAAAACCAGCGAAAATAAGCGCAAGTTAAAGGAACAAAGAGTGCCAAAATATAACAGGCTGTGATTGGCTGCCAGAAAGTCGGTGTAAAGCCATTCATTTAATGAAACTGGTCTGCAGCAATGCTAGCTAGAATAACATGAGAGTCCTCACAAATTATTTCTGTTGGCACAGAATAGGATCAGTGAGCTGAATATAGGTGGCTTCCAGCATGCCTAGATGAGTGAAGTTTCTTGCTTGGCTGAGACTATGAACCAAGATGAACAATATTGGTCAGCGCATTCCTGATTCTTCAGTAAGTGGTGTGCAACAGCAGAGTTGACTTTGTCTGCTATTATCAGCCACATTGTTTACTTACACAAACATGTGGGTTGTGAAAGCAAGCTGATTTGAGGGTTTCAGATGGAAGTGTGCATGTGTTGGTTGATGAGATCTGACAATCTTTGAGTTGTACGCCCTAGATACCAAGCTTCACATCGGCTCTTGAATTCATAGGTAACACTGCTAATCTGTGTGGTAGGAAGCACATCTTTACTGACAGATGAGATACTTCTGTGTGTAGTAAATAACGTGCGCGGCTCGACGGTAGTGAAAGTGTTTCAGACAGCTAATTTGATCTGCTTTTCAAACTTTTTGGAAACTTTCACTCATCCCGGTTGTTTTAGGTAGTCTTGCTAGGCCCAAAGACCATTTGTTTTTTTAATTCTGCTGTGACTGTGCATTTGATAATATGATCGGGATATCCATTCTCACACGCGCTAAGATACTCTCAATAAGGTCACTGTCAGCGGCAAGTTTGCAATGAACATTGATTACCGCTAGGCCAATTGTGTCAGATAGGACTAAACGAGTCTCGACATGTACAATGTAGGTTTCCGAAAAATGGCAGTAAAGAAACCGTGCGCTGACTTCTCTACCGGTACATCAAGCCACCACATTCCATCACATTTCGATTGTGTATGGGAATGACGGGTGGAGAGCAATGAGATGTGCAAGAAAATTCATGCACGCTGCGCTACTGTAAGACATTGCAAGCGATAGATTAGTGCTTGTATCAACAAATGCATGTTTTTGTGATAGCCAATTCAAATATTCGCTAGTATAGGACCCAACGGTGAGACTATCTACTTGTGCGTACATGATGTTAATGAAACTGACAGTGCGGTCAAACTCAGATGCGTCTCAAATTTTTCAAACCTTTTCAAACTTTTTGCTAGTATAAATCATTCCGGTTTAAAATCATGACGCGGGTGCCTTTAATTCAGGCTCGCTAATGTGAATGTCAGAATCGGTCCGAAGACCATGCATGGCAATCAGACATTTGCGCTTGATGTTGGAGTTAGGAATTCCGAATCCCAATCCGCGCGCCAGGACAAACTGCTCAATATCGGACTAAGTATAATTCACATAAGTCAATAAAAATGCTTGCCGTATCGCTAAGTGACGCTCGGTAAATATGGCGTACAACTCGAAGACTAGCAAATCGCATTAGCCGACATGTGCGTATTTCCATTAAATCCTACCCGATACAAAATTAACCTACCAGGTAATCAATATGCTCGTTGACCGCAAACTTGCCGCTGAGATTGACCATATTAAGAATATCGTGCGTATAAGAACGGATATCCGGATCATATTATCTAATGCAACGTCAATTGAACAAACAGATAAAGACTATCAAATACCCTGTCTACCTGAAACTACGCGGCGAGGGAAGAATTCCAAAAATTTTGAAAAGCAGATCAAACAAGCTGTCTGTAACACTTACACTACCATCAAGCTGCGAGTAGCATTTCCTACACACAGAATGGTCTCATCTGTCAGTAGAGATGTGCTCCCTATCACACAGATTAGCAATGTAATTTATGAATTCAAGTGTTGATGTGAAGCTTGGTACCTAGGGCGTACAACTCCAAGATTGTCAGATCCCATCGACCAACATGTGTCCACTTCCATCTGAAACCATCAGATCAGTGTGCTTTCACAACCCACATGCTCATGTAAGCAAACAACGCGGCTGATAATAGCAGACATAGCCAACTCTGCTATCACACACCACTTACTGAAGAATCAAGAATGAGCTGACCAATTCTGTTCATCTTGGTTCATAGATCTCAGCCAAGCAAGAAACTTCCCTCATCCAGGCATGCTGAAAGCTGCCTATAATCAGCTTACTGAACCTATTGAATGCCAACAGAAAAAGTTTGTGAGAACTCTAGTGTTAATCTAGCTAGCATTGCTACAGACCAGTTTCATTAAAATGACTGGCTTCACGTCTACTTTCCGGCAGCCAATCACAGCCTGTAATATTTTGGCACACTTTTTTCCTTTACCTTCCACTTATAATCGTCTGATTTTGGCCTTCTGTTAATTCTTGCGATTTCCTCTGAGTGCAAGACGAAAAGCTTTAGTATGTCTGTTTACATCGCTATTCTTCAATTACAAAATCATGAAATATTCAATAATAAATACAGTGTATTCAATAATTACCCCCAACAAGAACATCACTTCTAATAGCAAACATCTACTGTACCACTAAATTATTTTCTTGTATCAACTGCAATAAAATGAATAATTGTGAATCCTAACTAATATGATTGATTTCCTTGAACAATTCCTCATAGCAAGAAGTTTATAAAGATTTCTATCTACAGAGCAACATTATGTTGCATCTCTTGCAAATTTTTCATAATATGAGGAATTCTTGTTGTGTTTATGAAATTCAAATAAAAACAGAGTTTGTTCAAGACTCTATATACTTTTCTTAAGAGAAAAAAAAGTTTTGTTGTACAGAGAGATAGTTTACCAAAACAAAATCAGGTAGGGTTTTTTGGGACAAGGGATTTCTTGACAATATATCGTATTTAAGTAAAAATTCACTTTCACTGTATGAAGAACACCACTTACAGCACCATTGGTTTATATCAACACACATTTCATGAATTCTAAACCTATGGATGAACTGAATTTTAAAATCTACAAACTCAAAAGAAAGAAAAAATAATATAAAATGAGTTCCAAAAGACGTAATCTCAAGTGAAGTGATGAAGTGTATGTTACCAGTCTCCAAAAGGATCATCGTTATCAGAGGCTTTGCCAGCACTGTAGAACAAAGGAAAAGGATGATCATAATATACTGAACGAAAAGATGTCTAGATAATAGGGAGTGGCAATTATTGGCACCCCCTCCCCCCCCCCCCCTCAAACAATCTTGGCAGCAGAGTGACAGAGTCTCTTTTGAATTTTAGCCAAAAAGTTATGGAGGGAAATATTTCCATTAACAAATCATGACAACAATATATGGCTTTGAAATCCTAGAAAAATATAGCTTCATTATTTATTAATCAGATTTTAGAAAATAATACTTGGACAGGTTTTTAATATTAAAGCCTGTCTGCACTAGTTTGGCCAGGAGGAATTAGACCTCCCTGCAAGGTCACTGACAGGTGGTTAACTCATCAAATCAGCTCTTAATTAACATAAGAAAAAGGGATCATGGGGGCCCCAAGGGTACTGCTTAGGCATTGTTTGATATATAGAGGGCACAAGTAGCTATAAGTAGTGCAGTCCGGCATTAAACTCATGAATATTGGTTCTCTTACCTAGCTGGGTCTTCCTCCACCCCTCCTTCCATCTCTTCCCCTGAGATCGTTCCATCTGATTTATGACTGATTGGAGGCGAATCTGGAATCTGTTAAGGACAGGACGAAAGAAAAGAAAAAACATCACAAAACAGCAGACACAGGTGAAGTAAAGTAACCCTTTCTATAAATCTACCAGCTCTGCAGAACCATTCAAGAAATATAAACTAGCATTTAACCAATATTATTGTTTCTCTCATTAAACTTACAGAAAGTATATTGAATTCTGATAACAATACAAAAATGAATTCTCACACACAATTCGACAAAATTATCACTAAATCATCAAGTATGAATAAAGTGCATGAGTCAAATGAATTTGAAAGAAAATGTTAAGGAATAATAAGCAACATAAACGAGGGATTCAATGGAATGTCAGGGACTATGTCTAGGTTTTGAATGTAATTATCTTCCTAAATCCTTGCAAATGATTTAAATGCTGATTTGATGCACTATTTGTACAATTTGGATCATATGGTCACATTATGTCTTCCTGCACTAGGGTACATCACTGTGATCATGATATAAGTACAGCTACATGTAGCAAAGAAGGTTTTCCTACCACTTCCGGTTCTTGAGTTGCGGGAGTTGCATCCTGTTGCTGCTTGCGTTGTTGCACCATCATCATGTATCTTTGCATCACCGGGTCGATCTTCACACCATCCTCCTCCTCTTTCTTCTCTTCCTGTTCATCTTTCTTTCCATCATCTCCCAACTCATAAGTGTCATTCAGGCCAGCTGAATGATCTTGCTTTGGCTCTGGAACACCACCGCTTGCACCTGACTGAAAATCAAAGAAAGGACAGACATGATTTTTAAATGTGAATCATCAGAGTTTTTCAACTTTCCCTTCCTCATCCTGCTAAACACCTGCCATTTATTACTTGAAGGCTGTGAAAATTACCATTATCATAATACAGCCCAACATAAGCAATAGATAGAGTGACAATTTGCAAGAAGTACGGTAGTGATCTAAACCTAAAAATGGCTACCCGGTATGCAGAAGCTGTATGTATGAAAAAAAAAGAACGAACAAAATAACTCCATATGAGCTATGAGAGGAACTGTTTTGCTTTCATCTTTTGCAGTTGCACTCCACATGTACGATACAGTATACAAATAATGAATGGTTATGAGTTCAATAGTGCAAATATTTTCATGAGTTGAAAGATTAACATTCTATTCAACGAGGCGTCAGCCGAGTTGAATAGAATTAACGTTAATCTTTCAATGAATGAAAAAATTTGCACTATTGAACGAATGAAAAAACATTCATTATTTGTTTTATACAACAACAAAGAAGATCTAATAGAACGTTAATCAACAAATTATCCTTTACTCCTTATATTAATTAAAGTTGGAGTCAAGCCTTCTCGATTACACGCGCACGGCAGAGAGGTACGCAGTCTGCATATAACCAAAAATGCAGTCTGCATATAACCAAAAATGCACTCTGCATATAACCAGAAATGCACGCCCGTGCAATATAACATCTATTGAATATCATGTGACCAACAATCCTCCAATCAAACGACAAGGATCCACGTAGGTGTTGTATAATATGGTATATGTATGGTATAGTACAACAAGATATGATATTGAAAGTCATGCCCTATAAATCTATTTTTAATACTTTAGAGAAAAACAAATAACCTCTTGTTTTTGAAGCTCCATTAACATCTTCTGCTCCCTCTCCCTTGCCTCCTGCTCCTTCCGTTTTCTCTCCTCCTCCTTCTTTCTTCTCTTCTCCTCCCAAGCTCTCTGTTCTTCTTCTTCCTCCTCCATTCTCCTCCTTCTCTCTTCTTCATCAGCCCTAGCTCTTCCCGTCTCCTCTCTCCTCCTCTCTTCTTCCTCATGTCTCCTGTCTTCCTCTTCCCGTCTGATTCTTTCAGTTTCCATCTTCTTTCTTTCCTCCTCTTCTTTGCGTCTTCTCTCTTCAGCTGTTGCTCTCTTCTGTTCATCATCGCTTAGGGCTTGAGGAACAGAATGGTCACTGAGGTGGGACAGGTTTCCTTCACCTATTGCACCTGTAGGAGATGTGATAGTATAGATATATTGACTGCTATTAAAGGCATCGCTGTTTCTATAGGCTCAAGGGGACGTCACATCCTGATATGACCCGCGCTGAATATTAAGGCAGTCGATATATCTTTTATATACCGAATTCACAAACAAATCTACAAAGAATTCTTACCTTGTCCTTTTCTTGAGTAAAGTCTGGTTAAAACATCACAGAAAATCGAAGACACCATCTGTAAATCTTTGCTGGAATGTTGCCTGAATGTTACGATCATTCGGGAATCGCAGACAAAAAGCACTGTATGGTATCCGCTCGCACCAAGAAAATTTGTACACGTAAACCAATGGGGATCTCAGCAAATATTTATTTATGCGGCCCGTTACCCTGGGCAAGGGGCATCTTTAAAAAAACTATTGATCAGTGGGCGGGCATGGCTAAAATCACGACTACAATTTCGACCAATCAGATGACTAGATTTATTCAACATACTAAAGAGAGGGATATAGACATTGCTATGATTATTAAAAAACAAAACATGTAATAGATTTCTACTAGATTTGTTAAAGGTAGTGTGAGCTACTTAAGAGGGCCAAGGATTATCCAGTGATCTAATGCATGTACAGTATTCTAAATCCAAAAACAACCAATTTGTACTACAATTTATTTTGCTATGTCTATACTAACATTGTTATCAATGTCCACATCATGGGTTGCAAATTTCTTCAATGACGCAAATCGTCTAAGATACTATAAGAATCAAGGTTTTGCAACATGGTTTTGATCTATAAAGATTTCATCCTAAAACTAAAACAAAAACAAAGATGCATGCATCATGCATCATGAAATTTTTTGGTGTGAAAATACGTAAAATGTTTACAGTGTGGCAAAGAAGAAGCTATAACCCTTATGATTACGACATACAATTAAACATCCTTAAGCAATGAACCAACCTGCTGTGGTGCCAGGTGACATCCACATGGCATCATCCTTCCGATCAGGACCTCCCAGGTCAGATGTATTTAACTTTAATGATATTGAAGATGAGGACGAGGACGATGATGATGACCGGGTGCGCTTCTCAGACATCCTGCGATCAGTGTGGTCTAGAGCAGGACCTCCTACTTGCTTACTTCCAGAACTTTCTGCAAGTCTTGTTCTATCATCAGCGGATCTTTCCTTTCGAGCTTTGGATTTGTGTGGACCTGAGTGCTTTTTGGGATGTTTGGAATGGGGAGAGCTGTGACTGTGAGTGGATTCCCTCAAAGCCTGTCTGCTGCCATCTAGTGGTAGATGAGAGCTTTGATCAGGAATCCTTGACATTCGCATATCTGGAAAATCAAGAATTGAAAAAAGAAAGAAATTGAAAATTGTGAGGAAAACAAAAATTGAACTATTAAGCACTAATTGCATTTGCTTTCATAAATGATTAATGCACACATATGTGCATACGTGTATACAAAATGGGTCCGACTTCCAAACAACTTGTTCATTACAGGTACCAGCTGGCTTTTATGCATTTGTAGAAGTGCTTGATATGTTCAACATAAATCATTATACAAACGTACTAAGAGTTCTGAATAAAGTTGTTAACAATGTTAATTCTCTGATCATGAATTTAAAGCAATATTATTCAAGGTTTCTGTGGTGAAAATGCCAATGATAATTCTATGAATGATTATACCGATGAATGAAACAATGAATGAAATTCTTTCATACCTGTATTGCTATACAGGCTTCTGTGGTGAAAATGCCAATGATAATTCTATGAATCACCAAACTGATGACTGAATGAATGAAATTCTTTCATACCTGAAGGTGGTCTGGTGGATGAATATAGTGATTCAGGGCCGGGGCTTTGGTAGGACCCTCCTGCACCACTCATCCTGTGTTGGAGATCTTGATAGTTGTGTTCCAGATGCTGAAAGAGAGAGAGAATGAAAGAGATATTTTGAGACAAAGAAAGACACAGGGAGAGGAATCAACAACAAAAATTATAAGATGATGAAGCAGATCCTAATCAAATGATTGGTTGAGAGCATACACGTGACCAGGCATTTATTTTGCCTAACACATTTGCCTAAAATATTATTTTACAAAACAAATAAAACATCATCTTATAAAAGAAATAAAACAGATAATTTTGTTCGGGCATTAGTAAAACTACCCACACTCGGTACCATCAAAACTTGGGTACCTCGGCTAGCGCCTCGGGCGTGTTAGTCTGTTCCAAAGGTACGTTGTGTGGGTAATTTCTTACTAATGCCCTCACTGCTGTGTATTATTTGTATACAAATGAACCCCTGACAGTGTTTGGGGGTTTCGCAGAAACAATGATTAGTCACGTCTTCAGTATAATGCACTTTGTATGCTATTACACAAAGGTTTCCAGAAAACTTGGTTCAGATCTCCATGACAATATTTTGATTGATGGTCGACTTCATGAATAAAAAATGGTTGTCAGCTATGTTATTAGTATCCATAGGTTACCGATGTGAGCATGCAAAGTACCGGTAATTTATGTCAATTTATTTTAGTAAAATCAAAAAAAAAAGAAAAAAGATCTCTTTGATTTCTCAGTAATACAATTAATGATGGCTTTCACTTTTCTTTGTAGCTGCCTGAACCTCGCTTTGGTCTCTAAAATGAAAGCAATAAAGCCCCTCTCCCTCCTCTCACCTCAGCTTCCCTCTCTAGCTGCCTGAACCTTGCCTTGGTCTGTTCAATGAAAGCAATGGAATCTCCACCCTGCGACTCACTATCCTCCCCGCTGTTTGAATCGTCCAATGGCAGTTGGTATCTGCTGGAATCGGCCAATAGGAGCTCAGGACCCAGTGTGTTACGATGAAGGGAGGTGTCCATGTAGATGTCGTTACCTAGATTGCTGTTGTGGAGGGTGTCGTCTACAGCTAACCCCAGATTCCTGAAGGAGCAAAGAAAGTAGAAATATTTTTTAAAGTACATTCTAGCCAATTTTTAGATAAATCAATTTTTTTCAAAATTCAAATCTTCTATATAAGACCAAACAGTTACACTGCTAAAAGAGTGTAAATGCACATCATCGAACAAAAAGAAGAAAATTGGGCTAGCAGCCCTAACCATTGTGCATAACACACGTCCCTTTACTAATTTTTCGAGAGGTCAGATTCATGAATGTTTGATGTCACAAAATCATTCACGGGTAATCACACAGAATGTTTAGAAATCATGAAAGATGTTTTTTTTACAATCATTTGCTGATAATACAGAATTCAGAGTAAAAAACAGTTTTTCACAACATGCAATTCCATTATCAAACAGCATGATGAAGCAACTGATGGTATTTGAAAGCAATCTACTCTTTCAGACATGTCATTATAATGTACATGGGTGGTATTCTCATAAGTTAAGCCGGGACTAAGTCCAGACTAAACAAGAATTTTAGTTCACACTTCTATGGAATGCTAGGTTTCATCTTCCTCCTTCAATATTCATGATAAAGATAATCTACCAAGGACTTTGTTGAAATTTAGTGTATACTCATATTATCTTTTTCTTCCTATTTCAGTGCAAAATTAATTTTTTGGACACTTTTCATTGAAGGATTAAAATAATCTGTACAGGGTAAATTAGTTTGCAACAGGCACTCCATAAAAGTATGAACTAACTAAGTATGCGCTAACTTAGTACGCGCTACCGGAATACCACCCCATGTCCTTTATACAAGGCTTATCATTACATCTGCACTGAAACAAGGACAGGCACATTCTAATCTTTACATAATATTATCATCTTTAAATTCTGTTTCCATGGAGACCCATCCATACCTGTCTGGATGGTAGATGTTGTTATTGAGAGCAGTCTGTGTCTGACGCAGTGCCAATTTGAGGTCGGCTAGCTGCCGCATGAGAGAAGCCATTTCATTGGTCTGTTCTGAGAGCCTGTGCCGTAGGTCCTTGTTGGACTCAATCTGGAAGGTAGTAATAATATTTTTGGAGTGATATGATAAATTACAACGAGGAATTTCAAATTTATCATTTAAAGTAGAGAAACTCTTGTTTATATGAGTAGTTTAAAGTTATAAATTTAAGAAGATATCCTTATTCTTTTAAGCCATGGGTATACTTAAATCTTTGAATAATCAATTGTAGTGCCAATTTGAGATCAGTTAGCTGTCGCATGAGAGAAGTTATCTCATTGACAGCCTGTAGTTCCTCATTGGTTTCAATCTAAAGGCAGAATGAGCAACATAATTTTTCAAAACGATACCTGTTTTAGAGAAGCATTTAAAGGAATAAATGTTTTTTTCTTTTAAACCATTGGGATATTGAAATTACAACAAAAAGAGTTTTAATTTTTAATTGGAGAAAGAAGAAGATACTCTCAGTATAAATGTCTGTTCTTTTAAAGTTCCCCATGCTTGGCATAAAAATCTGGGCCCGTGAATCAAAATCCATCACAAAGTTATCACGTACTTCTTCTTGTAGCCTTGTATTCCATTGAGCCTCCATGTGTTGTACTGTTGCCTTCTCATGACTGAGCTGTTCTCTCGTCTGCTGTAGCTCACTTCTCAAGGCCTGTAGCTCCGGGGACGGTCTTGACATCCTCTCACTCAACTGCTTGATCAATTCCTCATGCCCTAGTGGAAAAAATCATATAAGAATTCATGAAAAAGTGAGTAAAAATTAATGAACATAATTAGTTACATTACCACTATGTTTAATAATGATAATAATAGTGGGTTCTTGTACGGCGCTCATGTCTGTCAGACTTGACATTCCATTACGGCGCTCTAGCATTTCAAGGAATATCAGTACATGATAGTAGTATTGACTGATTCAGTTTCATTCACAGCATAAAAATGTGGATCATCTTGGTTATATTTGGCATTTTTTAAATAATGCCCTTATAATTGATAATGTAATTACCGGTAAGCAATCTTGAACATACCACACACGGTTAAAATCTAATGAGCATTGGATATTATCTGCATATCAAGAGCATGCCATACATGTGGCATAAATAATTCTATCTCATCAGTTTAAAGCGTATTTGTTTGTGACGAAATGTCATCAGCCCAGTTTCAGAACTGAAAATTTAAAGGGGAAGTCCACCCTGAAATTAAGTTAGTTTTAATAGGAGTAGAAAAATGAGAGAAACAAGTCAGTGAAAGTTTGAGCAAATTCTGATTAAAAATAAGGAAGTTAGGATTTTTGAAGTTGTGATCAATCAAACACAAATTGGCAACTCTATGACGTATCATGCGAGCTCAACTTCCATTTGCTCAGTACTAAAAAAATCTAAAATTTTCATTTTCCCTCAAGAAAAATTTCAACCATACATGCACCCTAAATATAATAATTGCAAATATGTTTCTATACTCCCCCTGCAAGGAACAAATATATATTCCGTCATCAATAACGAAGAAAACATGATTTTATGGAATATTATGCACAAAGCAAATGAAGGAGAGCTCGTATAATAAGTCACAGAGTTGCCAATTTGTATTTGATTGATCACAACTTCAATAATTCATAACTTTCTTATTTTCATTCAGAATTTGCTCAAACTTTCACTCACCTGATTTTCTTATTATTCTGCCTCTATCGAAACAAACTTATTTTTGGGGTGGACTTTCCCTTTAATAATTACTCCTAAGGGATTTTAGGACGTCAGTATGAGAGTTATGAAGCAGCATTGGAAATGTGCAATCTACGTTCATAAGAAGCAAGACATGAGCAGTTATGTATAGACTTTGCCAATGCTTTTGCCAAACACGCACAATTTAAAGAATGTTTACCTCTCAGACAAGAAAGCACTAATTCTCTAAGATCTCAATCAAAGTTTAAACAATACCACTTGAAAACAAAATGCTTCCAGTGCAGCTCCCTTCCATACTTTATAAATCTTCATAATAAAATGTAATACTAACACTTAATTATCCTACCAGAAATTAAGTACAATTATGCACGGTCTGTACATCAAACCACGAGCCACATGGAGTTCATGCAAACAAATTTATCATGTGTAATTATGAATATCAACTATCTTGAGTACAATTAGACCATTTACTGTATTCAAATTGTATGCATGCATCACACTATAGCTCATCCAAGCTTGCCAAACAAAGCTGTAGTGAAACCCTAAATAGCTAGAGCTTTCCCCCAACAAAGCAACAGGTAATGTATACAACCTGCATTCTTGCTAATGAAAATCAGTGACTCTTAAAGGTAATACAAAGTTTTGGTATGGGGTCATGAATTTGGTTTAAATGAACATGTTGGAAGCATAAGCCATCCAACAATATGCAGTGATCGTTGTCGCAGTTGAAACCGAGTCTAAAGTTATGGAATTGTAAATAATTAACTCTTTATGTTGTATAGCTCCCTCTCAAGGTCAAGATATTAATCAAGCTATAGATTGCCAATATAGCCCCTATTTCCAATAGTGTCAGGTTCTATGTTGTATTTCCCACTGGAAACTGGAGCCCTGCACGGGATCCAGTTAGAAGAACCAGTGATAAATTGTTGATACTTCATAATCGATATTGGCAATATTGGCAATCTATTGACGGTACTACGGTCCTGGAAGATAGTGACATTGCAGATTGTTCATGGAAAACGGCAGTACGCAAAAAATCGAAAAAGAGGCCAAGGGTTAGAAGCAATAGTGATGGAGTGTTACATGAAAAGAATAACAAAATACCCAAATTCTCCCGCTCGACACCAACTCATTCTGAGGGTAAAGTAGTTATTGTTGGATTGGAGAATAAGAATGTGTGCAGATCGAGCCAACCCCGTGAAGGTTGTAAAACAAATTCATGATCTTGTAGGCAGAGTAAAAGATATGGTAAAAGAAAGAAACATGTTGATTGTGAGATGTGAGAGCGAAAACCAAATACCCAAACTGTTGGAATTAACCCAGTTGGCGGGCATTAATGTGAAAGTTACACGATACGATGGGAGCCAATCAACCACTAAAGGAGTTATTCACAAGATTGATCCCCAAATCAGTAACGAGGAAATAGAGGAAGTTTTGAAAGAACAGAATGTAGTGAACGCTAAAAGATTTATGAAGAAGATCAAAGGAGAAATGGTAGCAACCCCTTCCGTTCTCCTCACTTTCAAGGGTAAAAACTTACCCGAGTCCATACATTTTCTGTATGAGGTAAAGCAAGTGGATGACTATATCCCTCCTGTGCCGCGATGCCATAAATGTCAGTTATTCGGACACATTAGGCAAACTTGTAAAGGCAATATCCGATGTGTTAGATGCGGGGGAGAACATGAGTTCGAAGATTGCCCAAATAAGGAGAACCCTAAATGCCTCAGATGTGGTGAAAACCACTCTGCAGCTTACCAAGGTTGTAAATTTTATGCAGAGGCGAAGCAAATTCAAAAAATAAAATTACAGGAAAACCTCACTTATGCCCAAGCGGCCAAGGCCCATCGTGCACAGATACATGAAAATGCCGTTACTGACATGGATAATCAGAAAGACATGGGTAGTGCAAATCTAAACAAACCTGTCAAAAAACATATTACACAGAATCAAGGCCAAATAATCCTCAGAGAGCCAATCCGAATCCTCAGAGAGCCAATCCGAACCCTCAGGCCCAAACCCCACACACAGTACGAGAAAGAAAGGGACAGGAAGAAAGGGACAGGGCAATACCCAGATCTCATTCCCAGATCCCAATTCCAGTACGAAAAACAAAGAAGGAAACTGCAACCCAAACTCCAGTAAATATGACATCTATTGATTTGATTATGTTTATTCTGTTTGTGGTACGACAGTTGCCTCAGTCCAGTAATGATGATAATTTCTTGGAAGCGGTAGTTAGAGCAGGCAAAGAAATTTTGAAGGTAGACATTACCATGGAAATGGTAAAAAGTCGCCTCACTGACTAATAAGTCCATATCAGACCTATTGATTGTACAATGGAACGCACAAGGCTTGACGGCGCATGGCGCAAACTTTTTATCTTCCCTTATTGATAACAATTTGTTAGGTATTCACCCAGATATAATGTGCATCCAAGAAACTTGGTTTAACGATTTTAATGTTTTGTCTATACCCAATTACGTTTGTGTTTGTAAAAACAGGCCGGACGGCAGAAGAGGTGGTTTGGTGATGTATTTAAAAAACGACATCACTTTTCAGGCGATGGATACACCCAGGAACGCCGAATACCAAAAAGTTGATATTTTTTGTAAAAACGGAGTTATCTCAATCTTCAACTATTATAATCCGTGTAAAAAGATTGAACTGATAGATCTAAATAACATGATAAGAAATGTGCCGGGGAAGTATTTGATTCTAGGCGACTTTAATAGTCACAATCCTCTATGGGGGAGCAACAAATTAGACACAAACGGTAGAACTGTGGAGTCCTTTATAGAAAATAATGATTTGGTTTTATTAAATGATGGATCTCCTACAAGGTTAGACCCATATTATGGTACATACTCAAATCTGGATTTGTCCTTAGTATCGAAAGAATTAGCACGTAATACAGAGTGGAAAGTACTATCCAATAATTTTGGCAGTGATCATAATCTGGTTTGCTTAAATTTTAAACATGTGTACAATAGACCAGGGGGTGAGAATATGGGACAGAGATGGTCTTTTAGAAAGGTTAATTGGGAAGAGTATAGAGAAGAAATTGAAGAGGCATTGAGAAAAGAAGGATATGAAAATCTTGGTGCAGAACTAAACATTCAAGGCAGATACAATGTGATTGTTAAGGTGATCAAGGAAACGTCGAACAAGTGCATTCCGCGTGTGCAGATTGCCAAGAGAAGAAAAGTAAATCCCTGGTGGAACAATGCCTGCAAGAAGGCGGTGCAAGAGAGAAATCGTCTTAAAAACAGGTTAAGAAGGTAAATGATCTAAATGATGTTAAGAAATACTTAAAGAAGAAAGCTGTCGCTCAGAAGGTAATCAGGAGAGCTCAATATGATTATTGGTTAGAGTACTGCCGTAGAATGAATAGATTTACAGACATTGGGAAAGTCTGGGAACAGGTTAAAAGAATGCGGGACAGTACAATGAACAAGCACATCTTTCACAATCTATTTGTAGACGGAAATATCTTGAAAGAATCTGAGGAAAAAGCAAATGCAATGGCAACCTATTTTAAATCGGTTGATGAATCACTTTCCGTAACTAAAAATGAAAACGAAAATATCTTGTACAATAATTCTTCAACAAATGATGATGATTGTATCAATGATGACTTTAACATGAGTGAAATGGGGAATGTTTTAAAGGAGATGAAAAACTCCTCATCCGGTAAGGATGATATTTATTTAATTATGATTAAGAATTTGCCGAACAAGGCACTCGTGTATTTATTAAACTTGTATAATGACATTTGGAAAATCTCACTTTTTCCACATCAGTGGTATGAGGTTATTCAAATACCAATCTTGAAATCCGGAAAAGATCCGACTGAAGTGACCTCTTATAGGCCGATTTCGTTGATATCAACATTCTCTAAAATTATGGAAAAAATGATAAAAAATCACCTGACGTGGTTTCTAGAAAAAAACAGACTATTAAATCCTATTCAATCTGGCTTCCGCAAATATAGGAATGTCAAAGATCACTTAGTGAGATTGGAGACGGACATACATA